AAAGCTACCGAGATAAACCTATATTTCAAGTTTCCTCAAAATCGGATAAGAATTGTGACCTGTAGAGTGTCCACAAACAATTGTGGACGGACGGACGTCCGGACGGCCAGGAGCGACGACAATATACGTCCACATGAAAATGTGAACGTATAAAAATATATACCAGTATTATTTAACAATCTACGTGTAATATGCTCTACTGTATTAACATTTAACAACCAACGTGTAATATACTGTATCACACTCTACTGTTTTTACATTTAACAATCAACGTGTAATATGCTCTACTGTATTAACATTTAACAACCAACGTGTAATATACTATATCACACTCTACTGTTTTTACATTTAACAATCACCGTGTAATATGCTCTACTGTATTAACATTTAACAACCAACGTGTAATATACTGTATCACACTCTACTGTTTTTACATATAACAATCAACGTGTAATATGCTCTACTGTATTAACATTTAACAACCAACGTGTAATATACTGTATCACACTCTACTGTTTTTACATCACATTAACATGTATTAAATCCAGAATAATCCTTAGTTAGCTTGTGTTGATGGAGCCCTGGTTCTAGATTGGCACTCTGACTTTAACTCCGAGCTCAGACCCCAAGTTCACAAAGCATTCGCAGATTTAAGTTAAGAATTTACTCAACATGCAAACACTGTTTATGAGAAATATCTTTGATCCAGAACCACAAAACTTTGCACATACTTTCTTATCGATGCATTTGATACATTAAAACAAAAAAAGTTTTATAAATGGCTATATATTAGTTATAATAAGGAAAACAATTTTGAGTGAATTCTTAACTTTAGTCTGAGAATGCTTTGTGAACTTGGGGCCTGGTCTCAACTCCGCGCTCTGGACCCAACTAACGTTTAGATCACGTTTTTTTTTATCTCCTGGGAACTGGTCAGATGTCCAGCCCCAAAAATCAGCCCACACACTTCAGGCGAGGATGGACTGTGCTAAGATAGGATAGAAAGCGTTAGCCAATCAACTACTGACAGGTGTTGGGGTGTGTGACCACGCTGACAAACGATGTCAAAACGATTACACAGCTGGGCTATTGCATAATGTCAGATAAGCTTTCTGGTCATTTGGTCATGGGTCGACCATCTGACTATGCGTGATATTAAATTAATAACTCCCCTCCTCGTGTCATAGCTGACATGATAGGCATATTTAATTAATCCAACTTTCATGTGTCAAAGGTGACATGCTAGAGTTTCCATATTATACCCCTATTACGTAACAATTATAGTAAGCAGGTATATGAAATGCTAGGGTTTCCATAGTATCTCCCTATTATGTAACAATTATAGTAAGCAGGTATATGACATATAACAATTATAGTAAGCAGGTATATGACAGGTGTACATATTAACATACTATGAGGGCTGGTGAAAAGTTTTAAGCCTATCTGTCAAAGACCCGTACAAAGTCGATGGTTTCTATTTATCTTTCTACATAGTCCCCTTCGAGGTGTACACACTTTTTTCACGTACCTGTGAAAAGACTCGTACAGCGATGTTGCAAGTCCTGAATACCGGTCAGGAAGATATTGTCTTAAGCCACCCTACAAAAAGCCGTTCACTGGTGACATAATGCCATCATTTACTGGAAAATTGCGACTGACTAGTTCCTTTCCCATTTTAGGCAACAGGTGAAGTCTTCACAGATTGTCACGGGACGTCGAAAATCTGGCAAGTCAAGAGCTTTGGCACCCATCTTGCAGAAACTTTTGGCGAGAATTTGGTCACAACGCGGGCAATATGTCGAGTGGTCAATCGTCGATCAGGCATCACCATGTCATGCACCTAGATAACGTTTTCTTGAATGGTTGCTGTAGATAGTTTTCCAGAACGCCCTCTCTGCCAAGCGTAAACTCCACAGCCAACTTCCTTCTTGTAAAAAAGGGGGGGTGGGAATCGTCCCCTAAAATGGAGAACATGTCGGCCTAATGCTGTGTTGGGGTAACTCTTTCCTTGATCACTTCCCTATAGCCAGTTTTGTATGGTACGAAGACAATAATAACACTACAGTTTCAGTTCTTATGTGCATGATTCATTCAATGATTGTACTTGTGTAGGGAAGATGTCAACCCAAACGATCTATCCTTTCAGGTTTAGAAATTTCAGCCAGCCCTCTTATTCAGTGGCTCCGGTTATTTTTTCGCCGAGGAAAATGTGAAATACATCGGCATTTATCAGGACTTTTTGTCACAACCATCTCTCTAGTCAAATAATTAAAACAAGACACAATAACGGATTACTGGCGTATTTATATGTGTAAACGCCCGAGTAACAGTTTATTCATATATGCGTTGGAATATTTAATTGTACAATAGGTTTTATTTAACAGAGGGTGATTTTAAACACATATGCAGGTTTATGATAACCATTACTCAGTAGTTTGTTTTAATCGATTAAATCTGTTTAAAATTTATGACGTTTCTGACTGTAGCAGGGTATATTATCACACGAGCTTAGGTTATGTACATAGTAACTATGATTGGGGTATATATTATCATACGATCTTAGTTGATATATATAGTAAACAAGTACAATGTTGATTTAATTACCTGTTTTTATACAAACTGTTATGACTACACAGAGGTTGGGGTAAGGACTGAAGGGAGAGAGGTCATTTCCGGACTACCAAGATACAATTATATTTCAATCATTGGCGTGCACGTAGCGATTTGTAGCAGTAGAAGGCAACCACAGGACCAGGAGAATTACACGAGGTTAGGTAAACGACAGAAAATATAACATAGTTTGGGTTAACAGAAATAAGAGATGATCTAGATACAACATTTTATTATAACATGTACAATAGTATTTAGAAACCCCTCTCTGGAGAAGGGGGGGTTGGATGGCTGAATGGTTAGCACGTGCGCGCTGTATCATAAGGCCTGTCATTGAGTCAACTGGCGTGGTTTCGAATCCCCGGTTGTACTTGACAAGGAGTAGCATCACCTTCCAATCTCGTGGGTTTTCTCTGGATCCCCCGGTTTCCTCCCACTGTTAAAGACCCCTACGCGCAATTATTATTGAATTATTGAAATAAAATTAAACTATATGATAGGCACGAAATGACCTAGTTTGTGTCGAGTGGACGTTAAACCCCATTTCTCTCTCTTCTCTGGTGAGCAACCAAAGTTCGTCTGTACTATATCCAAACACTAACGACTATTTATTATAAAATGGCCAATTCATTAATGATACTGAACATAAGAACTTAAGACTATCTTACGATAATCACATAGCAGGTTACAGAACAATTGATGTGTGACAACTGAACACATTGTAGTAAATACAACCAGCGGTCAGCGTATTATCTAACTTGACCACTATAGATATGCCAGTCACTGGGCCTTTGTTAAATTAAACAATATTATGGTCAATTAAAGGACATCGGAGATTGTATGACACATATGATGATTGTAATCTTTTAACTATCACTGTCGCTCACATTATGTAACACAAAAGAAGGATAGCACAATATATAATATTAAATAATACAAAAGACCAAATGTTATACAAGTATAAAGATCATATTTTCTAAACTATGTTGCAACATTTATACAGATTCAAGATGCGTTATGTTAGATTGAGATAAAGAAATGAAATGAATACAGAATAATATACAAGTATAAACATTATATTACTAAACTATGTTGTAACATTTATACAGGTTAAAGATGCGTTATGTAAGATTGAGATAAACAACTGACCGTTCTCAAAATACATAATGCAAAATGAATACATTGACAATATCATTCAAATAACTTTATTCTGGGCCAAGTTATCACTGTTTAGAGTTTTGACAAGATGTGGCATATATTATCTATTATCGTAGCAAGGGTATTTGTTTATGGAGACTCAGCTTCGATTCACCCTTTTTTTAATCAAATCATTAAATAGTAATCGTGTTTCAATCTCTTTACATCTCCACCATCAAATGGTCCAGAGTGTTGACTTTTGGTCTGCCATGTGTCTCAATAATAATTTATATAACATTTAAAGCCAAAGTAAAGACCTGCAATAGGCAGATTTAGCTCTTACATTATGCATCTTTAAATATAGAAATCGGGTTTGCCCGTACTTTCAATAGCCACAGCTATGATTTATGGTCTGGCTTTTCCTGATAAAAATAGTGGTTTGTCACAAGGGTAAACATTAGTGTACTGTGAGCAGAACGACGAATAGCTGAACAATTGTTTGACATATCAAGACAAGGTTTTATCCACTGTTTGTCGTGTATTTTGTACACGGTGAGCAGTCCATTTGCTGATTACACTATTTTGCCTGATTACACTATTTTGCCTATACCGTTTGTTTTAGGAACACAACCGGTGTAGGTTGTCATTTATGTCCATTGGCCAATCACGCTATTTTACCGAGATTTCGCCTAATAGTTTGGATGCAGCTATGGCGGGTGTGGCGCCAGGCAGGGTAAGCTTACTCTTCCGGACACCTGTTACCACTGTTTGTCGTGTATTTTGTACACGAGGAGCAGTCCATTTGCTGATTACACTATTTAGCTCGAATACATTATTTTGCCAATAACGTTTTTTAGGACTTCGAATTCTGTCTTATGGTTTGGATTGTTCGTACTTTGTTTTATTTTATTGTATATAATATATTAGAAACTATTGTTTGACAGACAAGGTAATATCTGAGGTTTTATAACATTGTATTTAATATATTAGAATCTATTGTTTGACAGATCAAGACAAGGTTTTATAACATTTTATTTAATATATTAGAAACAAACAAAGCTGGTATATATACAATCTTAGATATGTAAATATAGTTACATATTTTAGCGTGTATGCTACATAGTATCCCTCATAGTTGGCAGATGGCGGTTAGGGTAAGAGTCAAGGCGTGTTAGTATTCATATCCTGTGGGCCAATGATAAGCTCCGCCCCTTTTCCGTATTATAGAATCCACTCATACCAGTCCTTGATAACCGAGAATTAGAACGAACACGGAAGTAAATGAAACAGTAACGTCGCCATTAAGTTGTTGAATTAAAAAGATTCTACAGTTCAGTAGGGGAAGTAATATGTAATTTCTATACAACTAAACAGTAAAGTATATTTTATTTAATATTTTAATTCATTTTTTGTAAAAAGAGATATGATAGACATTGACTTCTAATGATACACTTTCTACGTAATCGATAAGTGAATACACCATTATTACACAGGTATGGCTAGTAGCAACTCGAATAATAACATAGAAATATGAGGGACGATTGTAACTTTTACTTCTTCATAAGACATCTAAACGTAAAAATATCTGAAGTAGGAGATAAAATAACAGACGGAAAACACAAATATAAATATTTCCTTTCTAACCAGTCAACTGATTAAATATAGAAATCAGAAATCGGGTTTTCCCGTACTATAAATAGTCGATTCCCTGACAACTCATCCCAAAGACAACTCATCCCAGACAACTCATCCCAATAAAAGACAACTCATCCCACTTTTAAAGACAACTCATCCCAAGTCAAAAGACAACTCATCCCAAGTCAAAAGACAATTCATCCCAACTTTTAAAACACCCGACTCATTCCAAGTTACAAATAAATACCACAAATAATCACTAATATATGAATTTATTACATCAACAATTTATTAAATTATACATTTATGTATGAATTTATTACATCGACAATTTATTAAATTATACATTTATGTATGAATTTATCACATCAACAATTTATTAAATAATACATTTATGTATGAATTTATTACATCAACAATTTATTAAATAATACATTTTATTATAACCTCAACAATATCATCAACTAATACATTTTATTAGGCCAGTCATTTAGTAATTTAGTCTGTCAGTTTGTCGTTCAGTCAGTCATTTATTACGTAATCACCAATTTGATTAAAACAACAATATCAATTTGATTAAGATAACAAATTCTGATTGGTTATGGTCTGAGTGGTCTTCAAAGATAGCAATTGTATTGAAACAAATATCACTTATAAGTTATATTTGTTGGGATGAGTTGTCTTCTAACCCATGGGTTAAAGTTGGGATGAGTTGTCTTTTATAGTGGGATGAGTTGTCTTCTAACTTGGGATGAGTTGTCTTCTAACTTGGGATGAGTTGTCTTATATTGGGATGAGTTGTCTTGGGATGAATTGTCTTTGGGATGAGTTGTCTGGATACCAAATAGTCACATCTATATATAATGGTCTGGTTTTTCCAGATAAAAATAGACCCGGCGTGTAGTTTGTTAAGAGGGTGAATATTGTTGTACATTAAGTAGAACGACGAATAGCTGAATTATTGTTTGATAGATCAAGAAAGGGTTTTATAACATTGTATATTATATATTAGAATCAAACAAAGTTGGTATATAACATACAATTAATCTTGTTTAGTTTTGAAAGATATACTTTAACGTTTATTTATGGTATTCGTATGATTTGTGAAATAATGCTGTATCAACATTGACTTAAATAATCTACTGTCTGTTCCAGGCGACACTACGACTCGAAATTGCTTGCTATTTCTTTAGTTTGTAATTAAAATGGTTAAAATTTACTGACCTACCTGGAATTGTCAGCCCATTACTTTCTTCGTCGAGCCTTAACGACTATAAGGTGGATAAAATACATTACTCTCTTATATATATCACACATTTCGACACTTGTCAATTTCTCAGAGCATAAACATTACCACTTCGCATAATATTAGATATCGGTGGACTAATTATCCCGCGGACAAGTGAGCATTCCCCCATTTCTCAGAACATAAACATTACCACTTCGCCTAATCATAGATATCGGTGGACTAATTATCCCGCGGACATGTGAGCATTCCCCCATTTCTCAGAACATAAACATTACCACTTCGCCTAATTATAGATATCGGTGGACTAATTATCCCGCGGACAAGTGAGCATTTCCCCATTTCTCAGAACATAAACATTACCACTTCGCCTAATCATAGATATCGGTGGACTAATTATCCCGCGGACATGTGAGCATTCCCCCATTTCTCAGAACATAAACATTACCACTTCGCCCAATAATAGATATCGGTGGACTAATTATCCCGCGGACTAGTGAGCATTCCCCCATTTCTCAGAACATAAACATTACCACTTCGCCTAATAATAGATATCGGTGGACTAATTATCCCGCGGACAAGTGAGCATTCCCCCATTTCTCAGAACATAAACATTACCACTGCGCCTGCGTAAATTGGGTCACTCGCATATCATGTAGGGGTATAAGGGTTTTCCACAAATAGAATGCATTTGGTTAATTATGCCAAGTGAAGGAGAATTCGTACGTTTGTTTTGCGGCAGTAATACTTATTTTCAGAGCAGTTTCTAAACGTTTCTTGCAGAATAAATACCTTTATGTAAATAATTTGTGTGTTTTTTTTGTGTGTGTGTGCTTTTTATTCTATTTGGTTACCAGTATTTTAATATTCCTTAAAAATATTCATACTACTGCATGTCTCCCAAAATGTTCCTCACAATATGCTACACTTATTTTCAAACATTAGATGGAATGGTAACCTTCCGGATAAAGTGTACAATTTGTATAACAAGATACGCCCACATTTTTAAAGAGGTGGACAGGGGTCCGATACGCGCAAGTATTAAAAGGAACCCATGCCTTTGGGATATAGACATATATTTTAATTTTCATCAAAATCGGACAAACATTGTGACCTCTAGAGGATACACAAGCTAAGAAAAGGTGATTTTTCGTACAATCAGGGCCCATAATCCAGGAGTTACAATCCGATATGCGCTTATATCGAAAGGAGCCAAAATCTTTAGGATATAGACATATATTTTAAGTTTCATCAAAATCGGATAAAAAAAAATGTGACCTCTAGAGTGCCCACAAGCTAAAAACGGGATTTTTCATCAGGGGCCATAATGCATGAAATTACGACCCGATATACGGCAATAAAAAAAAGAAACCGGGATCTTAAGGAGATACACCTATATTTCATGTTTCGTCCAAATCGGATATAAATTGTGACATTTTGAGTGTCCGCAAACAAATTGTGGACAGACGGACATGGGCAACAACAATATACGGCCTTATCATTAAGCTACATAGACTATGTTAGAGATCCATATTGATAGAAATTAAAGTTTTTCTAATCTATAAGTTGATAATCAAGACCAATTCCGAACCACATGTTTTACACCTCTTCCCCACTATAAAATTTCACGCCAATTTTCGGCATTGCATACTACCTGCAAAGCTAAAAGGCGCCCATAGGGACATATTATAAGCTTACTTAGTGCTAGAAATTAATGTTTTACTAATGATCATCATTGATATCAAAATAATCAAATATTCAAGTCAGTGGATTAAACAACTGGGCAAACTAATATTACCTCCCGTAAATAGCTCTTTAAAACAAATTATATTCTACTGGGTTGAAACCACTATCTAAACATGCAAGTAGGACGAAATGACTAAGTCGAAGCCACACACAAACCACGATTTGTCAAGGGAGAAAGGTTATATAGCTTTATCTGAAATAACGTGGATAGGCGGTTGATGCCCCGCCCATCAGTGAGGAAGTAGGATGTTAAACCCAATTTCATTTAATCCTTAAGTTAATTAATGTTTATGTTATTTTATATTCACAGATAAAGACGAAAAATGGCGGGATATAGGAATCCAGGTAAATAGGCGATACGCGCGTTACTACATAATATGACATCAACTGTCTGCCGTAAATAATGAAGCAATACTGAGTAGCCTTTACGTTTTTTTTTTCAACGTATATGCTTTAAATATTAAATTGTTTGCCCTTATTATGAAATAGTGCAAATGTCAACCGGAATTCTAAATACAACTTACGTTAAACTCCATTTCATTTCTAAATACAACTTTCGTTTGAAATCAGGACGTCACAAGGTGTAGTTGACGTCATATGTCTTACAAATAATAATTTAGTAATTCGTTATAGTCCCAGTAAATTATAAATTATGTACGACGTAGAAGCTCTCGCTTTGTCTTCTGTGGTTTCAACAACAAACCTCCCATGTAATACAAGAATTAATTCTATTGTCATTCGATGTCCTTTTCAATCGGCTTGATATAAATCATTAAGGAAATCTAATATTTAATGGTAAGCGTGCATGGAGATTGATATTGTATTTATATTTGATTGGGTAGTCGAATGGTCTAAACTGGTGCTCTTTAGATCATAAAGGTCTGGCATTGAGTCAACAAACGTAGTTTGAGGTACCAGCTTGTTAGTTACGCGGAGTAGGGTTCGCCGGTTTCTTCACACGTACAAGCATATTATTGATATCAAATAGAACCATATGTTAGTCCCGAATTGACCCGTTTTTTATTCTGGTATGTTTCACCTTTAATAAATGATCTTTTATCTTTTAATTTAGGATACCTGCCACACCACCATGCCATTTTAACGGAAAACAGCAAATTGCTACGAACAATACTTGCGGACGGAATTAAAAACGTGGCACACAAATTAAATGAACGTTTTGTTTTGAGTGATCATCAGTTGAACATCATATTAAAAACAGTCCCTCATCAACCAGATGATGGTGTATTCGAATTAATAAAAATACTAAAAGGCAGCTCGGCGGTACATTTTGACAGATTTATCGAATGTTTGAAGGACCTCGGGTATTTAGGATTGGTTCAGAAGCTTACAGGTATTTACATATATATCAATGGTTTTATGAGCATTGATTGTGGGAGAGAGTTCCATTGATATTTTACTTTTGGATATATTTCAACACTTATTATTTTTTCAGGATGTCAGTTTCGATTTCGGCAGTTTGATATTTTTTGAAGAACGTAACTTCCCACCTTTATGAAAACCATGTAAACACAACGGAACTCTTGTTTTTCATTCGGAGTATGAACCCTATTTATTTAAAAATTTGGGTCAGTTATTGAGTGAACAATAGACTGGGCAACAGAAAATGAGTATACGCCATACAGCGTACTACGAGTGCCGAGATATGTAGGTTATATTATGTACATTACCGCGACCAACACTGGAAATAACCAGTGCAATATTCACTCTGTGAATAGTACTGTTATTGATAATCATTGTGCAATGTAATATGGTGGGGGTGGGGGTCATTTCATCTAGGCGGCGATATGTCGGCCAACCTTCGGTAAAGGTTTGACCTCTATACTCTATTTTACTAAACAACATTTGTCACGAGTTATAGGGACTTTAACAGATTATGTAACTGCTTGTCCATATATATTATTGTTCATAATATCTCTTTCTCCCTCCCCATTTATTATTATTATTATTATAAATAATCTCAGTGGCAGGACTATCCATGCATGGCAAGACAATTATTCATAAAATGAATAAAAGGTCTGTCATTGAGTCAAGTGCCGTGGTTTCGATTCCTCGCTTATACGTGACAAGGAGTAGGGGCGCCTGTGCAACCTCGTGGGTTTTCTATAGGTCCCCCGGTTTCCCCCTCCCACTGCTAAAGACCAGTAGGTTAGTGCAGGCGAATTATTGAAATTAAATTGAAACATATGTTAGTCCAGAAATGACCTAGTTTGTATCCCATTTCTCCTTCTCTCTCTCTCTCTTCAGAAAGACATTCAACTAGTGTTAATACAATCCCCCAAATAGAAACACGACCATCTCCTAGTACCAGTAGCAGTACAGATACAGGATCAGCTTTAGTTTCACAAAAAGAAACTTTACATGATAATACTAGTACAGGTAAATATATTTGAAACATAAAAATTAACAATCTTTATAAGAAGACTATAAGGATAAACCCTACTGTCCAGTTATAAGTATAAACCTTATATTGTCCAGTTATGAGACTAAACCCTATATTACCCAGTTATGAGGGCAAACCCTATATTTCCCAGTTATGAGGATAAACCCTATATTGCCCAGTTATATAAAGATAAATATATTTCAGACACAAACATTAAAAGGGCAAAGCCTTTGTACCAGTTAGAAGAATAAGTCCTATGGACCAGTTATGCTCCATGTCAATACGAATAAATCACATTTTTTAGCTTGTGGACCCTTAGAGATCACAATTTGTAACCAATTTGAAAAACCGTTCCAATATATCAGTGTTACACCATATTGACCAGTTACAAGGATAGGATAAACCCTGGCTTATTGACCAGTTACAAGGATAAACATTGGCTTATTGACCAGTTACAAGGATAAACCCTGGCATATTGACCAGTTATAAGGACAAACCCTGGCATATTGACCAGTTACAAGGATAAACCCTGTTATATTGATCAGTTACCGTATTTTTCGGTGTATAAGGCGCATGCGTAGATAAGGCGCAGGGCGACTTTGGCAGAGGTGTTTCAGGAAAAAAAAAATATGCGTGGTTTAGGCGCACCCTTTCCCAGCGCGTGTGAAACTCGTGCCATAGCATATGTTTCTCAAATCCACCTGCGATCTCCAGTAACTACGTCAAACTCTATTGTTTACAGTTATAATAATTACCGATATTTAGCCGTATCAAGCTTTATATAATTATATTTCTTTATGAAATAAATTGCTTTTGTTACATTTGTTTATATTAATTATAACACGCAATTGCATTATTGCATAACTTTCAGCTGTAATTCTGTTGCTCGTACGGTAGTGAAATTGTCATTCAAGTCCCGCCCACAACAAACATGGCCGTCTATTACATCGTGTTAAATTCGTGAGTAATTGTCTGTGATAAATGAATCGGTTTTGATGATAAACAAATTAAATAATACCTGTAGAAATAATATATCATGATCAGCTACTCACAACTTAAATCCTGACTACCGGTAAAAGAGAAACAACAATTCCAGTTTACTCCAAGTTATGCAAACAACTGACAATCAAACGATAGCGTCTGTTGCCCCGCCCACTCCACGCATCATGACAATACCCAGATTGTAGCCATTTAGATCTATCAGTAAAATAATACAATAGCATTTTTAATACCAATCAAAAAAACAATGATTTTGTCAACTACAAACAACTTCATAAAGAAAACGGTAACAACTCACTGGTAGATAATTAACTATACCGGTAAAATAATACAATAGCATTTTTAATACCAATCAAAGAAACAATGATTTTGTCAACTACAAACGACTTCATAAAGAAAACGATAACAACTCACTGGTAGATAATTAACTATACCGGTAAATTATAACAATGGGCCAATCACTGAATCCATGTTGAATGAAAACCGTCGGTAACTTAAAACGGTTACTAAAAGACAGTCTTGCTCAAAGAAAACACCCCGATGTATATAAAACACCAGTGAACATTCCATCATTCTTAAAAATTATTTATTCAGAATGGCTACGAGACGAACCGCTTATACCGCTAAGGAGAAGTTGAGGGTAATTAGTTACGCTGAAGCACACGGTAATAGGGCCGCGGGTCGTGAATTTAGTTTGGGGGAGTCAAACGTGAGACGTTTTGTTTTTCTTATATCCATATTTTATTATATCTATACTGTGCCTATAACTATGCTGTGCTATACTAAAATATATTTTAGTCGATGGATTAAATTTGTTCTGTTCTTCGATATATTCTGCCAGTTTAACTGTAATCCCGCCCATTAACGCTATCATTGTAACAGACAATACCCATAGCCTATGGTATAATGAGCGTGTGCTCAATGGAAATTACCCTTCTAATAGCCAATGAAAACTCTTTGTCTGTCGTAAGCCCCGCCTTTTCGTCAACTTGACTGATATCACCGTTGACGACACACTGTTTGGATTGCCGACAGTGGCTAACTGTACCGGTAAACGGATTAGCAGAAATATATGTCATCAAATACGCAGGAATAATAGAAATATTAACGAGAATTTTTTAGATATTGTTAGCACTGTCGTTTATGACTAACGGTATACAGAAAAGCCGGAATAATAGAAATATGACTAACGGTATACGGAAAAGCCGATACCGTATCTTAAATGGCCGCCATATTTATTGCACGAAAAAAGACGACATCGGAATGTCGGAATAGCAGAAAAATATGTCATCTAACTATTTACGATATCTTTGCAGATATTTTAATAACACTAAACCGCTATTGACCCATATTGTTGCCACTGTCGTCTATGACTAACGGTATACGGGATATCGGTATGGGAAATGGCCGCCATCTTTATTGCTGTTGTCGATATGATCAACTTCAGACCTCGATGTTGACACACAGAAAAGCCAAGATTTGCTTAATACAATGTATAAGGCGCACCCCTTCAAGAAAATAAAATACCTGGTAAAAAAAGTGCGCCTTATACACCGAAAAATACGGTACAAGGATAAACCCTACTGACCATACATAAGGATAACCCACATTGACCAGTTAATGTTGATTTAATTTCATGATTTGTGACCTCCAAATGCTGCAGTTTCAGATACGTTCATATTGTTTTAGTCAGAACCATATTAAAATACAGTCTTGTTTTAGTCAGAACCATATTAAAATACAGTCTATCAATAAAATCTTTATTCAAAAAGAGACGACCTGATTAATCTACTGAGGAGGGGATATGTATTTCCGGGATTCATTTCATTTCAAACTTTCGACCATTGAACACCAAATGTATCTAGATATATAGATGTTGATATAGCTCAGTAGGTTGTAGGTTGTCAATAATTATTCTCAGTCTGGCATTGTAGTTATTTGATATTGTACTTCTATAACATTTCCAAATCCCGAACCTCTCCTGTTACCCAATGTTTGTTTTATTTTCAGAAATCCGGGTATCCATTATAGGAAAGACAGGGGTTGGTAAGAGCGCACTAGGGAATGCGCTGTTACAACACAATATCTTTAAATCACAACAACAGACTTCCTCTGTAACATCAGAATGTGGTTCAGGACAACGACATCTTCAATTAAATGGTGTAGATACCTTACTAAAAGTTGTGGATACACCAGGTTTGTTTGACACGGGTAACAGTAACAAAACAATAGCCAGGGAAATCGTTAAATGTATTAATATTTTATCACCAGGGCCCCATTTATTTATTATGGTATTCAGAATTGACTCAAGGCTCTCACAAGAGGACATAAAAGTTCTTGAATACTTTAAAAATACCTTTGGTGAAATGATTGATAAATTTGCCGTTGTGGTGTTTACTGGGAAAGATCTACTGGTTGATCGAAGTGAAGATGGTGCTATAGACGAATTTCATACTCATTTGTCAACATTTAGTGATGTTTTTAAACACTGCCCATCCGCAACGATCAATAACGGAAGGAAAGATAAAACAGAAGGAAAGACGAAGGATGTTGATAGAATCTTACAATTACTTCAGACAACTATACAGAAAAATGGTGGGGCATTTTATAAAAACGAAATGTACGAAGAGGCGAAGAAGTTGTTTGAAGACCAAGAAGTAGTCAATCAAAACAGATTGGCCGAAATAGCTAAACTGACGAAGCAAATTGAACAATTGAAACAACGGGAAGAGGAACAAAAACAACGCGAAGAACAACAAAAACAACGAGAAGAGGAACACAAACAACGGGAAAACAATTTGAGAAATTGGGAGCTAGCACTGAAACACAAAGAAGATGAACTTTCTTACACAGAACAAGCCACCACATCAGCATATCAATACGGTATGTTATTTACTATCATCATCATCCTCAGACATGATATTAACACCATATCAATACGGTACGTTATTTACTATCATCATCACCCTCAGACATGATACTAACATCATATCAATACGGTACGTTATTTACTATCATCATCACCCTCAGACATGATACTAACATCATATCAATACGGTACGTTATTTACTATCATCATCACCCTCAGACATGATATTAACACCATATTGTTATGTGTCTAGTAATATATGTTGTTATTTAAATCAGTGCGGGTATAGATGTATGATAATATTGTTATGTGTCTAGTAATATATGTTGTTATGTAAATCAGTGCGTGTATAGAAGTATGATAATATTGTTTTTTACTCGTTACCTTGACCTGAATTTTACATCATATTCATCTGATTTCATTATGTTATATAGTTGTCATCACATTCATCTGATTTCATTATGTTATATAGTTGTCATCACAGGGAAATAAGTTGCATAAAATTCTTGTTACTCTCGTGTTTGTGTTAATAAAGTGGAGTCAACTGCAATACGTCATATCCGGTAGTAAATCAATTGTAATTATAGATTTGGTTTGATGCTTTGCAAAAGTCCGTTTCATTATATGGCAAGAAGCATAATGACCTGTAAGAAATCCTTTAGTTGAATTTTAATTTGTCAATGGTGATCATCATTATTTTAATGTCTTATAAACAAAAACTTGCTATAATAATATTATTGTCAATGATACAAATTATTACAGCCACAGGTATAATATCGTCGTGTTTATTGTTTCAGTTGAATACCAAGAGAGTCCACCTCGTGCCAAGAGGAGAAAGTTTATATCTAGAAGAGAGGCGAGGATGATGTCACCTGAAGATAACAGTAGGATAATATCTAACTATTATAACTCTATAATTATTTATGTAATCTTGTAATTAGTTCTTGTCCATGGCTTATTTGAAGAATTTAACGAAAATAATGGGAATAATTTTGAGCCTGAATGCCAACCTTTTCTGAAACCACGTGACTGTGAGAGGATGAACATTACTGATTTTCAGCCAAATTGAGGGCAATTATTGAGTGAACAAAAGACTGGATGAAATGGGATTTAACGCCTTACATGTCTGAGCAAATAAAATCTGGTATACACCACGTAGCGTGCTATGAAATATTTATGTTACTTTGTAAGACCTACGGATACCTAAACGTCGTCTCATTGTCACTGTGCAAATAGTTCTGTTATTGATAATCTCTGTGCAATGTAGAGAGATATCATTTTGCCCAGACAGCGATGGCTCTGCCAACTTTCATTAGAGGTTTCATCTCTGGAATCTATTTTACTACACACCTTTATCATCTCTCTCTCTCCCTCTAAGAAAAAAAATAATGTTATTTTTCAATATTTTTTAAATTCAGATACTGTAATACTGCACCATACAGATCAGAGATATGGAGAAATGTCTGGTTCGTCCCAAGGGAATCAGTTCATGATTAGAGAAATGGCGGATAGACGTCACTATGATGTATCACATTCAGGAGTCGGCAACAGATCAGAGATACACGAGGAATATGGTGAGGTTGATATTCTGAAAGTTGAGGTTAAGAAGGCACACAGCACAAATAGTCGAATGGTCTAAACTGGTGCTCTTTAGATCATACAGGTCTGGCATTGAGTCAACATACGTGGTTTAAATTTTCAGCTTGTACGTTACTAGGAGTAGGGTTCGCAACTACAAGCATATTATGGATATAAAATAAAACCATATGTTAGTCCCAAATTGACCTGTTTTTTTTTCTGGTATGTTTCACCTTTAATAAATGACCATTTATATTTTAATTTAGGTGACCTGCCACACCACAGGGTCATTTTAACGGCAAACAGCGAATTACTACGAACTACACTTGCGGACGAGATTGAAACTGTGGCACGCAAATTACATGAACGTTTTGTTGTTCATGATTATCAATTGACCAGCATATTAAACGCAGTCGCTAAACAACCAAAGGATGGTGTATCCGAATTAATAAGAATACTAAAAGGCAACCCGAAACATTTTGATGCATTTATCCAATGTTTGATAGACCTGGAATATAAAGGATTGGCTGAGAAGCTCACAGGTATGTACATTTATTACTGGTCTCAGTGGTTGTATGCGCATGAATTAATTTAGCATTGATTGGGGTGAGGGTTCCTCGGTATATATTTTAACACTTATTATTTTTTCAGCATGTCAGTTTCGATTTTGGGATTCCCTCATGGGTGTTTGATATTGGCATTGATCAATCAAAAGTAGAGAAAAGAAGCCATCACGGTTTCGAGTTAAAATGCGGATCTTCCGTTTGTCCTCAAATGTTATATAAATCATTAATTAGACCTTTATTCACATGTCAAGCATACAGTTTACCTCGTAATTCATTTTCGTCAAAGTAATATAATTTTATACGTTCACATTATAACTTTTATTGTCGTCGCACCGTCCGTCCACATTTTGTTTGTGGACACTCTACAGGTCAAAAAATTTTATCAGATTTTGACGAAACTTGAAATATAGGTTTATCTCCCAAAGATCTCGCCTCCCTTCGATATCGGCGTGTATTGGATCGTAACTTCATGGATTATAGCCCCTGATTGTACAAAAATCGTGTCATTAGCTTGTGGACATAAATTGTTATGTCGGACCGTAACACCCTAGATTATAGCACCTTATTGTATTTTTTCTTTTAGCTTGTTTTCTGTCCATCTGGGCGCATCTTGCATGACAACGGTTTGTTAACAATTTGAGTGGGGTGTCATCTATACTAGAGAAGACTCAATAACCGTATCTATTGTTTTTACCAAACTCATTTCGTCTTGTTGAACTCATGCGCATTGTTCTTACACTCATTTCAATTATAAAACACAAGTCGTCATTAATATTCCTTATCAATCATAATCTTCAAACGTAGTATTCGTATAATTATTCATGTAATATTGTAATTAGTTCTCGTCTATGGCTTACATCTATATGAAGAATTTGACTTCCCACCTTTTCTGAAAACCATGTAACCGAGAGAGGCTGGGTGCTATTTTGTCTCAGTCAGAAGATTTCAAAATTTGGGGTAATTATTGAGTGAACAAAAGATTGAAGGAGATGTGATTTAACGTCTTTCATTTCTTCACCAACTCGGCAACCGCGTACTACGAGTGCCGAGATATGTTGTTTATATTATGTACACCACCGCCGCCAACACTGGAATCAACCAGTGCAATATTCACTCTGTGAATAGTACTGTTATTGATAATCACTGTGCAATGTAATATGGTAGAGGGGGGGGGTCATTTCGTCCAGGCGGCGATATGTCGGCCAACTTTCGGCAAAGGTTTCACCCCGGTCTTTATTTTACTACATAACATTTGTCACGAATTATATTGACTTCAACAGTTTATGTAACTCTCTCTCCCTCTGTGGAAGCGTTCATTTAATACCTTTATTGGCAGGACGATCTAACATGTCTGGTAAGACAAATAATGGTAAAAGGAAATCTTCAGAAAGTCATTCCACTAGTAAGAATTCAATTTTCCAAGTAGAAACACGACCAACCCCTAGTACCAGTAGTAGTACAGATACTGGATCAGCTTTAGTTTCACAAACAGAAACTTTACATGGTAATATCAGAACAGGTAAATATATTTCAAACATAAACATTAAAATCTGGACAATCTTTATAAACAAATCCAGGAAGACTATAAGGATAAATCTTATATTGCCCAGTTATAAGAATACATCGTATTGACCAGGTACAAGGATATAAGGATAAAGTTGCCAATATTATTTCAATGTTCACGGTGCAAAATGCATATGTCCGCAGTTCTTCAAAATACGTATTCTAGTTTTACAATTTGCAATTTCCATTCCACCACAATACTAATGTCAAAGTGTTAAAATACAGAATACACTTTTCAATAATACTAAATACAGTATAATAGTTATTTTGCACATTACACTTCTCCATTCTGCATTTTGCATGATAGACAAATGCATAATAGAACTATCTAATTCAGATGATATTTAGACTAGCCTACTGTTGATGAAATTGAAGCAAAGTTGATCAAATAGTGTTAGGAGAAACCCAACGGGACCGTATACAAAGTAATATAATAATTATAACAACATGTATGAGATACAATACAATGAACACAGAGGCAAAATTTCACAAATTGCACTTTTAACCACTGAAAACTTGAGTCTGGCCCGACAAAACCCATTTAATTGTTGAATGGACAGTAAACCCCATTTCGATTAATTTTCATTCCACACTACATGTATAAAATAAATACAATCTGATGGTGCAAAGGCATTAACCTATTCAAATCATGTAGTTCTAACTTGTCGGGCATAACACATTTCGTGTGGAATTTACTCCAGTTATTTTGGATGGGACGAGAGAAATTGAAAAAAGTAGGATGAACGGCAATTGTCCATGAGGGATGATATAACACTAACTTCTAAACTACCAGTATCTGATAAAACCACTTCGTTTTTGAGTTCATAACAATGAAAATAGAAACATTGAATAAATATTAGACTCACAAAAAAAACACATTTTATAGACTTGTTCCTCTTAAATATTAGAGTGGACGTTTTATGCCGTTGTCCACGTCCGTTCAGACGTCTGTTCTCATTTAGGTGGGTAGGAAGCTGGCTGGCTATCCTGGAGATCGCGTGTTCCATCCCTGCATTGACTGAGAGAGAGGTCATCGGGATTTTCCGGCGTGGTTTCCCCCATGTCGGTGGTGCAGGATGGATGGTCTGACAAGGACAGCTGTCTAGTCTAGAGATCAAATTGTTTCCTTATTTCTTTTATGAAACTGAGATTATATCTTCAACATTTCAGATGGTTGCGATTTTGGCACGTATCTGACCGTAACCTTGTGGATTATTGTCCGTGATTATAGTTTATGGAACCTCTGGAAATCATAATTATTATTCGATTTGAATTGACGTTCAAATATATGTTGATTACACAACAATCGTAGATGAGTTATGGCAACTTCCTGTTAAATGCCCCACCCCACCCACCCTTCTTTTACACAAATAGTAGAAAAGCATAATGATATTATATACAAAGGTGGTCCAATTATTGTCCAATTTCACTGTATATTAAAGATCAAACGATTTTAGATGACCCCCTGTCTTTTACATAAAATGTGTAACTAGGTTAGTGGGCGTTTTCTAGTGTAGGGAGCCGCGGTGAATCAATGAGTAAGACGTTGGCTCGCTAACCTGGAGGTTACATGTTCGAATTAGGTGTGGTTTTCTCTTGTCACTGGTGCTCGACAGGGTTGCTGGCAAGGGACAACATATAGTCGTCCTGATGGGACAAAAAACTGAGGTCCGGTTTACACATAGGCGTAAAATATAACTTTGCGGTTGGAATTCTATATGAGAGTAGGTGGTAACGCCCGTATCCGGGCAAAATCTCCCCCATAGAACACTGTATGGCATATTCCTTTCTTCATTATATAAGTCGTGGCAGAACAGTAAGGGACGGCAAACCCTATTTCGTTTCATTTCCAGTATGTTTAATTTTTTTTATATATATTATCGTGATTCGAGGTAATATTTTATGTAATTTGGGATATGTTATTGTAGTATTGTTTGATCTCTGAAGGTTATTGTCGTATTAAAGATCATCTGGTCACATTATGGTCCAAATCTAATAAGATCATGCAACAGTGTGATATGCATGACGTCATTATGTATTCCATGACGTCGAGATCACCTTTACGTCATCCGTGGCAACCAGCAATGTTCGGTAACCATGCTCGGTATCTAAACGTACCAATTATACGACAGTGTTAAATTTTGACACGTTTTGTTATTTGTTTCGACCTGTTTATAAATGGCATTCATACCAACCTCTGTAGTCAGTGATTCCAATCCAACATTTATGTTACTTATTACATTTTAGTCTTATACATAATGTACCTCAATTAATATATTTCAGATATTACAACTTTATTGACACCAGGTCACCATTCACCAAAGCTAGAGTATTGTCTACAATCCACTTCTCAACATCAGGATCTAGAGTCTGGTCAACCATCAACATCATCGAGTCTAGATTCTAGTCATATTAATCAACGTAAAGATGATACAACACCAGTTAAAACATCACCTGTTTACAATGATGATAAAGTTGTAAGACCAGTAGATAAAGATATATTATTTAAAGTTTGTGAACGTGGTACATTAGACGAATTAAAATCTATTTTATCAGATAAAACAATTGATATAAATAGTACAGCCATGTTTGATTGTATTAGATCGGGTATTCAAACTGTGGAGAAATTAGAATTATTGATATCATATGGTGCTAAACTTGATGTTCAAAATATGTTTGGTTATAGTTTATTACATGAGGCGTGTGGGTATGGATGTGTAGAAACTGTTAAATTGTTGTTAAATACAGGTAGGATAGATATAGAGAGTAAGGGTTGGTGTGATAATACTCCAATACTTGTTCACGTAGACAACCTGTAGAAAAACTAGAATTATTGATATCATATGGTGCTAAACTTGATGTTAAAGATGGGGATAGTAATAGTTTATTACATGCAGCGTGTGAGTATGGATGTGTAGAAACTGTTGAATGGTTGTTAAATACAGGTAGGGTAGTTATAGAGAGTAAGAACAATGATGTTAGTACCCCAATACTTGGAGCTATACATTCACGTCAACAACCTGTAGAAAAACTAGAATTATTGATATCATATGGTGCTAAACTTGATGTTAAAGATGGGGATAGTAATAGTTTATTACATGTAGCGTGTGAGTATGGATGTGTAGAAACTGTTAAATGGTTGTTAAATACAGGTAGGGTAGTAGATATAGAGTGTAGGGATGTTTATGGTGAAACCCCAATACTTGTAGCTATAGGTTCCAATAAACAACCTGTTGAGAAACTAGAATTATTGATATCATATGGTGCTAAACTTGATGTTAAAGATAGGTATGGTGAATCTGATAGTTTATTACATATAGCGTGTTGGTATGGATGTGTAGAAACTGTTGAATTGTTGTTAAATACAGGTAGGGTAGATATAGAGAGTATGAACATTTTAAATGAAACCCCAATATTTGTAGCTATACGTTCATATGAACAACCTATAAAGAAACTAGAATTATTGATATCATATGGTGCTAAACTTGATGTTAAAGATGGGGATAGTAATAGTTTATTACATGTAGCGTGTGACTGTGTATGTGTAGAAACTGTTAAATTGTTGTTAAATACAGGTAGGGTAGATATAGAGAGTATGAATAATTATGGTAAAACCCCAATATTTACAGCTTTACTTTCAGATAAACAATCTGTAGAGAAACTACAGTTGTTGATATCATATGGTGCTAAACTTGATGTTAAAGATAAGTATGGTAATAGTTTATTACATAAAGCGTGTGAGTATGTATGTATAGAAACTGTTGAATTGTTGTTAAATACAGGTAGGGTAGATATAGAGAGAAAGGATGATGATGGTCTTACCCCAATACTTGTAGCTATACGTTCAGATAAACAACCTATAAAGAAACTAGAATTATTGATATCATATGGTGCTAAACTTGTTGTTAAAAATAGGTATGGTGATAGTTTATTACATGTAGCGTGTAAGTATGGATGTGTAGAAACTGTTAAATTGTTGTTAAATACAGGTAGGGTAGATATAGAGAGTAAGGATAATGATGATAAAACCCCAATACTTGTAGCTATGCGTTCACGTCAACAACCTGTAGAAAAACTAGAATTATTGATATCATATGGTGCTAAACTTGATGTTAAAGATAGGTATGGTGATAGTTTATTAATGTACATGTAGCGTGTTGGTATGGATGTGTAGAAACTGTTGAATTGTTGTTAAATACAGGTAGGGTAGATATAGAGAGTATGAACATTTTAAATGAAACCCCAATATTTAAAGCTATTATTTCCGATAAACAGCCTGTAGAAAAACTAGAATTATTGATATCATATGGTGCTAAACTTGATGTTAAAGATTGGTATGATAATAGTTTATGTCATGTAGCGTGTGAGTATGGATGTGTAGAAACTGTTAAATTGTTGTTAAATACAGGTAGGGTAGATATAGAGAGTATGAATAATTATGGTAAAACCCCAATATTTACAGCTTTACTTTCAGATAAACAATCTGTAGAGAAACTACAGTTGTTGATATCATATGGTGCTAAACTTGATGTTAAAGATAAGTATGGTAATAGTTTATTACATAAAGCGTGTGAGTATGTATGTATAGAAACTGTTGAATTGTTGTTAAATACAGGTAGGGTAGATATAGAGAGAAAGGATGATGATGGTCTTACCCCAATACTTGTAGCTATACGTTCAGATAAACAACCTATAAAGAAACTAGAATTATTGATATCATATGGTGCTAAACTTGTTGTTAAAAATAGGTATGGTGATAGTTTATTACATGTAGCGTGTAAGTATGGATGTGTAGAAACTGTTAAATTGTTGTTAAATACAGGTAGGGTAGATATAGAGAGTAAGGATAATGATGATAAAACCCCAATACTTGTAGCTATGCGTTCACGTCAACAACCTGTAGAAAAACTAGAATTATTGATATCATATGGTGCTAAACTTGATGTTAAAGATAGGTATGGTGATAGTTTATTAATGTACATGTAGCGTGTTGGTATGGATGTGTAGAAACTGTTGAATTGTTGTTAAATACAGGTAGGGTAGATATAGAGAGTATGAACATTTTAAATGAAACCCCAATATTTAAAGCTATTATTTCCGATAAACAGCCTGTAGAAAAACTAGAATTATTGATATCATATGGTGCTAAACTTGATGTTAAAGATTGGTATGATAATAGTTTATGTCATGTAGCGTGTGAGTATGGATGTGTAGAAACTGTTGAATTGTTAAATACAGGTAGGGTAGATATAGAGAGTAGGGATGATAATGAAACCCCAATATTTACAGCTATACGTTCAGATAAACAACCTATAAAGAAACTAGAATTATTGATATCATATGGTGCTAAACTTGATGTTAAAGATAAGGATGGTAATAGTTTATTACATTTAGCGTGTGAGGATGGATGTGTAGAAACTGTTGAATGGTTGTTAAATACAGGTAGGGTAGATATAGAGAGTAAGAACAATGATGGTAGTACCCCAATACTTGTAGCTATACGTTCATATAAACAACCTGTAGAGAAGATGCGAGTATTGGCAAATTTTGGTGCTAATCTTGATGTAAAATTTTCAAATCGTAATGCAGGTTACTGGTACCAGAATAGATATGATTATGCAGGTTATAGTCTACTGCATTACATATGCAGATATCATAAAGTAGAAGATGTTGAATTTTTGTTAAGTAAAAATATAGATATAGAGATAAAAAACAAAGCAAATGAATCTCCAATAATATCGGCCCTGCGTTCATCAAAACAATCAATACAAAAGGTCAAACTATTATTAGACAAGGTTGCTCAACTAGATCATTCCTCCAGTATACTTCACTATGCCTGTCAATATGGTAGTCTAGATTGTGTTAAATACTTTATTGATAAAGGTTTAGATATTGAAGGCAGGAATGATGAAAATGAAAGTCCTTTAATGTTAGCTATTAGTTCAACAATCCAGTCATTACCAAAGGTCAAGATGTTATTAGATGCAGGTGCTAAGCTAGATAGTTCACCGAATATACTTCACTATGCCTGTCAATATGGTAGTCTAGGGTGTGTAAAGTATTTTATAAACAAGAAAAGGTTAGATATAGAAAGCAGGGATGAAAATAATCGAACACCTCTGTTTTATTGTGTTTTGACAAAACGAATAAAATTTAAAAATAAAATAGATTTACTTCTGTCTAAAAATGTTGATAAAATGGTTAGAGATACAAATAATTTGAGTATATTACAATATGCTCGTCAACATGCTAGAAAAGCACGTGTACAATATCTTTTTAAAAATGGTTTTACTGATTATAGCTTATAGAAAACCGTAAATTATAAAATTATTTTTGAAACTACATCTATTGAGTGGCAAGGTACAGTCATTTGAATGAGACGTGCACGTAAAAGATCCCTGGAGAGTTGGAATTCTATAAAAGAGTAGGCTGTGTCGCCGCTGTCAGGGCAAAATCTCTCATAGCATAATGTATGACGTACGCCCGTCTTCATTAGCCCGGTCGGAGCAGATGAGTAGGACGTTAAACCCCATTTTATTTATAAATAATTCTATGTAAATGTACATACCAAAAATATCATACTTTCATAGGGGAGAGAGAGAAATGGGGTTTAAGGTCCACTCGACACAAACTAGGTCATTTCGGGACTAACATGTGGTTTAATTTTATTTACATAATTCGCTTGCGCGTAGGGATCTTTAGCAGTGGGAGGAAACCGGAGGACCCGGAGAAAACCCACGAGGTTGGACAGGCGACCCTACTCCTTGTCACGTACAACCGGGGATTCGAAACCACGCCAGTCGACTCAATGACAGACTTTATGATACAGCGCGCGCACGCTAACCATTCAGCCATCCAACCCCCCGTACTTTCATAGGTAAATCTTGTTTACGGTAAATTAAAAACTAGTCTCGAACACCATGACATTTAAACCACTGTTATATTTTAATATTGTATACCATATATATACATTGACCTGTATTATATACATTGACCTGTATTATAGACATGGACCTGTATATATATATATTCATATCACAGTTATTATTGGATTATTTATCATATATGGCATCTTGTTAAACCATGGATTGATTAACACCCTGTAAAATCAAGATCAAAACACTGCTGCGGCTGACCTGCAGACAGAATACCCATAAAACAATCAGAAAGACGATTTTGTAAACCTAGGCACCCTGATATAGTATTGGCATATGGGAAAAACCTTGTCAGCGATTTTCAAAACGTATGTATGTTGCCGCCCAGTCTTCAACTTTTGGGCTCAGTAGGCGGCACAGTTTGGCAGGTGCGCCTGGTCACCATGTTAAACGAGGCTCTGGTCTCCCATACATAAACGTTAATTTCGCTTACATTTCGATAATATTTGAGCCTGAATCTGTACAGATATTGAGATTGATATTAAACTATTAAAATACAATTGCTAGAAATACATTTACATGAAATAGTAATTCATAATCGTAGATTGAAGTTGGCTATGTTTAAGCCACTGGCTGTCAGATTTCACACTAATGTCACATGACCTCAAAAAAAGAGAAATGGGGTTTAACGTCCACTCAACACAAACTAGGTCATTTAGGGACTAACACATGGTTCAATTTTATTTCTATATTTTGCTTGCGCGTTGGGGTCTTTAGCAGTGGGAGGAAACCGGAGAAAACCCATGAGGAGGGACAGGCTTGTCACGTACAACTGGGAAATCGAAACCCCGCCAGTTGACTCAATGACAGACCGTATGGTACAGCTAGCGCGCTAACCATTCGACCATGCATCCCCCCCCCCCCTACACACACACACATGACCTGAAACCCTTACTGTTCAAGTGCACATAAGATGGACGTTGAAACTTTTCGCTACGTGTAGCCAGTGGTTACTATACCAGTATCCACTTTACGGCAAGTTCACACCAATCTGATTGAAATTAATTCAGCTATCCTCACCCAAAGTCGCAAAAATAGACCTCCCGTAAAAATGACTTTGTCAGTTATTGAAAACACTCTTAATCCCCTCAGACGCCAGTGACGTCACAGTGACCGATTGCATATTCGGAATGTTTATTCCTTAATTACCTATATATAGCCGGCGTGTGTATTCATTAACGCCTGACAGATTCTTTAATCCCTACTCAAATGAAACAATTGACTACTGAATAATTTGTTTTGTAATTCATTTTAATTTAAGATCCAATTTAGAATTTGTTTTATAATGTACCTCATTCTTGTCGCACGATAGTGATTTTAATACTGTGTTTTAAAGTGACTTTTTCATAGAGTCCCTCTACCATCGTGTGCAGTCAAAACGATTCGAGATACATTTTCGTCAGAAGAGTATCGTGGTTCTATTTTCCCCAAGTACAGGAGTAAAAAGATGTGGTCGTGCAAAATGTATCATAAAAGTCAAACATGATTGAAACGCGATTTGTAAATGACGATCCGTTACCGGTATCAGAGTAGCCAACAGTATCTCGTTTTCCAGTAGCCATCGTACGGCACCTTTCTTTCTGCATGTGGATTTGACTTCATTACTCTGAAAAAGACGGGGGTTTGGTTGGCTGAATGGTTAGCGTGCGCGCTCTGTATCATAAAGTCTGTCATTGAGTCGACTGGCGTGGTTTCGAATCCCCGGTTGTACGTGACAAGGAGTAGGGTCGCCTGTCCAACCTCGTGGGTTTTCTCCGGGTCCTCCGGTTTCCTCCCACTGCTAAAGACCCCTATGCGCAAGCGAATTATTGAAATAAAATGAAACCATATGTTAGTCCCAAAATGACCCAGTTTGAGTCTAGTAGACGTTAAACCCCATTTCTCTCTCTCTCTCTCTCTCTCTCTCTCTCTCTCTCTCTCTCTCTCTCTGAAATAGACTGTACAAATGAAGTACGAAAAAATATCTCAATATAGTTAGAATTAACAGTACAAATAAATTTTGATGGTAAATGGAATAACAGATTGAGAAGGGTCATCTAACTACAAGTATCTTTGTGTATTGATAATAATATGGCAAGTGTAGTGTCGTTTATATCTGTCATTAATATATCTAACTAAAGTATCAGACACGAGTCATAAATTAATTAAAAATGCTGATTAGGTAATTATATTTTTTCACGCGGGCCAGAACAAAGACATCACTCTAGGTGGAACGGGTGGGTAATACCCCACCAACGAACTAATCGTACACACGTTAATTGTATAAAATAATCAAGTTTTACTCATCAGTTGTTTATAATTATTATTTACCCATTAATCAATTAGCTTTGTTCACCGATGTTTTTGTAATTAAAGTAGCCTCGTATTATTTGTTGATTTAATTGACTTGATATGAAATCTGAATATAAATTATTCGATGGATAAACGTTTGTGATAAGATAAGGTTATAATGTCTAACATCGTTTAACTTTTTGTCCCCCTTCTTTCGTCCGTCCGTCCGTCTGTCTGTCCGTCACACTTTTTGGGACACAATAACTCTCTTTCTAATTGAGCTACAATGTTCAAACTTGGTGTAGGTGTTTATTAGGTCAATGCATTGATGGAGTTTGAAGATGAGAATTTTCTGCTTAGGGTAATCATGCAGAGATAAGCAATTTGATTGGTTGATGCCTTGGGACACGATAAATTTAGTTCTTATTAAGTGAGAGTGATGAAACTTGGTGTATAGTTATATTACATCAATAACTTGACTAAGTTTGATAATGAGCATTTTCTGCTCAGGGTAAGAAGAGCGATAAGTAATTTGATTGGTCAAGACCTTGGAACACAATAACTCTCCTTCTAATTGAGCTAGAATCTTCACACTTGGCATAGGTGTCTATTAGATGAATGCCTTGATGGAGTTCGAAGATGAGAATTTTCGGCTTAGGGTAAGCAGAGATAAGCAGTTTGATTGGTTGATATACATGAGACACAATAACTTTAGTTCTAATTAAGTGAGGGTGAGGACACTTGGTGTATAGCTTTATTACATCAATACCTTGACTAAGTTGGACTATGAATATTTTCTGCTCAGCGTCAACAGAGCGATAAGCAATTTGATTGGTTGAAACTCTCCTTCTAATTGAGTAGAATGTTTAAACTTGGTGTAGGCGTTCATTAGTTGAATGCCTTGATGCTTTGAGGCACGACAACTTTGATTATAATGAAGTGAGAGAGATGGAACTCCAAATATAGATTCATTATATCATTACATTGTACCTTGACTAATTTCGATGGTGAGAATTTTCTGCTTAGGCTAATGAGCGATAAGCAATTTGATTGGTCAAGACTTTGGAACATAACAACTCTGCTTTTAATTGAGATAAAATGTTTAGACTTGATGTAGATGTTCATTAGGTGAATTTCTTGACTGAGTTCAATGATTAACATTTCGAGCTGAAGCTAACCAGAGCTAATAAATTTCATTGGTCAATGCTTTTGGACAAGATAATCTTGATTCTATCTGATAGAGATTGATGAAACTTAGTGTATAGTTTGATTGCTTGATACTTTTGAAAAAAAAATAAATGTGTGATTAATTAATGTGTGTCATCTATTTATTTTGGGATTTCGGCGGGGGACATCAGCCTCACTGTTGGCTTGTTTTTATACACCCACATTTTCGTGTGGACGTATATTGCTGTCGCACCTGTCAGTCCGTCCACAATTGTTTGTGGACACTCTACAGGTCACAATTCTTATCCGATGATGACTAAACTTGAAATATGGGTATATCTTCAAAAGATCTCGGTTGCTTTCGATATTGGCATGTATCGGACCTAAACTACATGGATTATGGCCCCTATAGAGGTCACAATTTTTATCCGACTTTGTTTAAACTTGAAATGTAAATTTATAACCCAAAGATCTCGGTTCTTTTCGATATTCGTGCATATTGGACTGTAACTTCCTGAATTATGGCCCATGATTGTACGAAAAATTGGGTTTTTAGCTTGTGAACACTATAGAAGCCTATATTGGATCGTAACTTCCTGAATTATGGCCCCTGATTGTACGAAAAAATTGGGTTTTTAGCTTGTGGACCCTATAGAGGTCATAATTTTTATCCAATTTCAAAAACTGTTTAAATATATTGCAGTTACACCCTAAGGATGGTTGAATTCAAATTTCGTAAAAATCGGACCAAAACTGTCAGACAAAATGGCCGCCCATTGTTATCGAATAGCGTAAAAATAAGGTATATGAATGTTGTGGACTCTCTAGAGGTCACAATTTTCTTCTGATTTTGATGAAACTTGAAATGTAAGTTTATAACCCAAAGATCTTGGTTCCTATCAATATTCACGCATATCGGATCGTATCCTTCTGAATTATGGACCCTGATTGTACGAAAAATCACGTTTTTAGCTTGAGGTCCCTCTAGAGTTTACAATTATTATCCGATGTAAAAAAACATTCTAATATATCATCGTTACACCGTAATTTTGTGAAAATTGGACCAAAACTGCCAGTCAATATGGCTGCCCCTCCTACACAATTAGTGTAAACATATGATCTGGTATATCCAAGTTGTGGACCCTCTAGAGGTCACAATTTTGAAGTGAATGTTTATAACCCAAAGGTCTTGGTTCCTTTCGATATTCGCGCATATCGGATCGTAACTTCCTGAATTATGGCCCCTGATTGTAAAAAAAACGTTTAAATATATCACCCAGAGGTCGCAGTGGATCAATTTCGAGTTGCGTAAAAATACACAGACATTCTAAAATTTTGCGTTTTTTATTTATACGCCCACATTTTCATGCGGACGTATTATGCTGTCGCCCCTGTCCGTCGGGACGTCCGTCTGTCTGTCCGTCCATCCGTCCACAATTGTTTGTGGACTCTCTACAGGTCACAATTCTTATCCGATTTTGACGAAACTTGAAATATAGGTTTGTCCCCAAAAGATCTTGGCTGCTTTCGATATTGGCATGTATCGGATCGAAAATTCATGGAGTATGGCCCCTGATTGTACGAAAAATCACGTTTTTAGCTTGTGGACCCTATAGAGGTCACAATTTTTATCCGATCTTGTTGAAACTTTAAATGTAAATTTATAACCCAAAGATCTCGGTTCTTTTCGATATTCGTGCATATTGGACTGTAACTTCCTGAATTATGGCCCATGATTGTACGAAAAATTGCGTTTTTAGCTTGTGAACACTATAGAAGTCATATTGTTTATCCGATTTAAAAAATCGTATTATTATATCACCGTTACACCTTAAGGACGGCTGAGTTCGAATTTCGTGAAAATCGGCTCAAAACTGACAGACAAAATGGATGCCCTTCGTTCTCAAATAGCGTAAAAATATGGTATATCAAGGTTGTGGACCCTATAGAGGTCACAATTTTTATCCGATTTTGTTGAAACTAGAAATGTAAGTTTATAACCTAAAGATCTCCGATCCTTTCGATATTCGCGTATTTCGGACAGTAACTTTCTGAATTATGGCCCCTGATTGTACGAGAATCACGTTTTTAGCTTGTTACACCTTAAGGACGGCTGAGTTCGAATTTCGTGAAAATCGGCTCAAAACTGACAGACAAAATGGATGCCCTTCGTTCTCAAATAGCGTAAAAATATGGTATATCAAGGTTGTGGACCCTATAGAGGTCACAATTTTTATCCGATTTTGTTGAAACTTGAAATGTAAGTTTATAACCTAAAGATCTCCGATCCTTTCGATATTCGCGTATTTCGGACAGTAACTTTCTGAATTATGGCCCCTGATTGTACGAGAATCACGTTTTTAGCTTGTGGACCCTATAGAGGTCATAATTTTTATCCAATTTCAAAAACTGTTTAAATATATTGCAGTTACACCCTAAGACTGGTTGAATTCAAATTTCGTAAAAATCGGACCAAAACTGACAGACAAAATGGCCGCCCATTGTTATCGAATAGCGTAAAAATAAGGTATATGAATGTTGTGGACTCTCTAGAGGTCACAATTTTCTTCTGATTTTGATGAAACTTGAAATGTAAGTTTATAACCCAAAGATACCGGTTCCTGTAGATATTCGTGCACATTGGACTATAACTTCCTGAATTATGGCCCCTAATTGTACGAAAAATCGCGTTTTTAGGATGTGATCCCTCAAGATGTCACAATTTTTATCCGATTTAAAAAAACGTTTGAATTTATCACTGTTAAACCCTTATGATGGTTGAGTCCGAATTTCGCACAAATCAGACCAAAACTGTTGGACAAAATGGCTGCCCCTCATCCGCAAATATTGTAAATATGGTATATCAAGGTTTTGGACCCTCTAGAGAGAGGACACAATTTTGATCCGATTTTGATGTAACTTGAAATACATGTTTATAACCCAAAGATGTTGGTTCCTTTCAATATTCATGCATATCGGATTGTAACTTCCTGAATTATGGCCCTTGATTGTACGAAAAATCACTTCTTTTTTTGAGCTTGTTCTCTGTCCATCTCTTGCAAAATGTGGGCGTATCTTGCATGGCAACCGCTTGTATATTGCAGTCGCCCCTGTCCGTCGGTCGGTTCGTCCGTCCATCGTCCACAATTTCTTGTGAACGCTCTAATGCCAAAAGTTATCATCCAATTGTTTTAAAATTGATATGTGTTGTTTACATTAGTGAGATGAAGAAGCCTATTTAATTTCCGTTTATTACGTCTAGAGTTATGGCCCTTTTTCACTTTGTTGAACCTTGTGAATGCTCTAATGCCAAAAGTTAATATACGATCTTTGTGAAATTTATATGCATTATTTAGATTAGTGAAATGGAGAAGCCTATTGAATTTTAGCAATTTCCGTTTATTACATCTAGAGTTATGGCCCTTGTTTCACTTTATTGATCCTTATGAATGCTCTAACGCAAAAAGTTAACACCCGATCTTTGAGATTTTTATATGCATGATTTAAATTAGTGAAACGAAAATGGCTATTGAATTTCAGCAATTTACAATAATTACTTCTAGAGTTATTGCCCTTGTTTCACTTTGTTAAACCTTGTTAATGATGAAATGTGATGTTTCATCACCGGACCGGCCTACACATTTGCAGGGGCCGCGTTAATGCTGTAGCCTACCTTGATGATGGCCCGTGGAGGACACACGCGCTACTGAGACTAATGATGTTATAACTTTTATATATATCAGTTAACTGATAATGTTATAACTTTTATATTACAGGAAACTAATGAGGTTATAACTTTTTATATTACAGGCAACTAATGATGTACTTGTAGGAGAACTCAAAGAAGATAAGTCTGTTTCAGAATATAGTGAAAAAGGGGGGACAAATTTGATCCAGAACAGTGGAGGAAACCTGTATAGATGTGATATTTGTAGTAAATCATTCACCACCAGTAGTAGTCTACAGAAACATATCAGAATTCACACTAGTGAGAAACCTTATAGATGTGGTGTTTGTAGTAAATCATTCACCACCAGTGGTAGTCTACAGAAACATATCAGAATTCACACTAGTGAGAAACGTTATAAATGTAATGTTTGTAGTAAATCATTCACCACCATTAGTAGTCTACAGAAACATATCAGAATTCACACTAGTGAGAAACCTTATAAATGTAATGTTTGTTGGAAATCATTTTCTACGAGTAGTACTCTACAGACACACATTAGAATTCATACTGGTGAAAAACCCTATAGATGTGATGTTTGTAGTAAGTCATTCACCACCATTAGTAGTCTACAGAGACACAAGAGAATTCGTACAAGAGATAAACCATATAAATGTGATGTTTGTTGTAAATTAGTTAGATTGAAAAGTTATCTAAAAGTGCACATGCGAACTCATACTAAAGAAAAACACTACAACTGTAGTGTTTGTAGTAAATCATTCACCACCATTAGTAGTCTACAGAAACATAGCAGAATTCACACTAGTGACAAACCTTATAAATGTGATGTTTGTAGTAAATCATTTTCTACGAGTAGTAGTCTACAGACACACATAAGAATTCATACTGGTGAAAAACCCTATAAATGTAATGTTTGTAGTAAGTCATTCACCACCATTAGTAGTCTACAGAGACACAAGAGAATTCGTACAAGAGATAAACCATATAAATGTGATGTTTGTTGTAAATTATTTAGATTGAAACGTTATCTAAAAGTGCACATGCGAACTCATACTAAACTGTAGTGTTTGTAGTAAATCGTTCAGTAAAAACAGTGCCCTATTAAAACATATTAAGAGTCATACAGTAGAAAAACTAGTGTGATGTTTGTGGTAAGTCATTTACACGGCATGGAACCCCAACAGACATCTAGTGTGATGTTTGTAGTAAGTCATTCACCCAGTCTGGAACCCAAGTGTGATGTTTGTAGTAAGCCATTCACCCAGTTTAGAACCCTAGTGTGATGTTTGTAGTAAGTCATTCACCCAGTCTGGAACCCAAGTGTGATGTTTGTAGTAAGCCATTCACCCAGTTTAGAACCCTAGTGTGATGTTTGTAGTAAGTCATTCACCCAGTTTAGAACCCAAGTATGATGTTTGCAGTAAGTCATTCACTCAGTTTAGAACCCAAGTGTGATGTTTGTAGTAAGCCATTCACCCAGTTTAGAACCCTAGTGTGATGTTTGTAGTAAGTCATTCACTCAGTTTAAAACCCTAGTGTGATGTTTGTAGTAAGTCATTCACCCAGTTTAGAACCCTATTGTGATGTTTGTAGTAAGTCATTCACCCAGTTTAGAACTCAAGTGTGATGTTTGTAGTAAGCCATTCACCCAGTTTAGAACCCTAGTGTGATGTTTGTAGTAAGTCATTCACCCAGTTTAGAACCCTAGTGTGATGTTTGTAGTAAGTCATTCACCCAGTTTAGAACCCTAGTGTGATGTTTGTAGTAAGTCATTCACCCAGTTTAGAACCCTAGTGTGATGTTTGTAGTAAGTCATTCACCCAGTTTAGAACCCTAGTGTGATGTTTGTAGTAAGTCATTCACCCAGTTTAGAACCCTAGTGTGATGTTTGTAGTAAGTCATTCACTCAGTTTAAAACCCTAGTGTGATGTTTGTAGTAAGTCATTCACCCAGTTTAGAACCCTAGTGTGATGTTTAAGTGATAGTCTACACACATAAGAATTAAAATTTGAGAGAAACCTTATAAATGTGATGTTTGTGGTAAATCAGTCAGTCACAGCTGTTTGCTACAGCAACACCAGATATTATAGCAGGGATTGGATGGCTGAATAGTTAGCACGAGCGCGTTGTATCATAAGGTCTTTATTGAGTCAACTGGCGTGGTTTCGATTCCCAGTTGGTCACTGGTACATGACAAGGGGTAGTATAGCTTGTCCAACCTCGTGGGTTTTCTCCAGGTCCTCCGGTTTCCTCCCACTGCTAAAGACCCTACTTTCTGATATAACAACTCTTACTCTCACAACTCTTTGTATCATCCTTATTGTGGGGGCTGTGGAGGGCGTCTCATAATTGTAATATGTATGTAATAATAGTTGTACAGTTATGTATCCACCTGTATTTTGATATATATATACTATTCAAAAAAAGTAGGGGATATTTGATTTTTAAGTGTTATTAAAGTCACCTAATGAAACTGACGAAGAAACAAATGACAAAATGAAATGAAGTTCACATTCATCGATTTATTCCAAATGATCATTAGACTAAGTAAGGCACAGACTGACCATTATAAGGGTAAAATGATACCCGGGGTCAAACAGCAAAGTTACCACAGCATCACAACCAAGTCAGTAACGGGTAAATCCTTCTCTGTTTGCCAAACAAGCATTGATCCGACGTGGCATACTCCTAATGAGACGTCTAAGGTCATTTTGGTCCAGATTGTCCCATTCCTGTTGCAACGCAGCAGCAAGTTCTTGGACATTGGCAGGACGTTGTTGACGTTGACGTAACCTCTGTCCAAGCATGTCCCAGACATGCTCGATGGGGGAGAGGTCGGGACTCAGTGCTGGCCAAGGTAATGTGGTGATGTTCTGTTGTTGGAGGTAACCTGTAACGATCCTGGCCCTGTGACATCTTGCGTTGTCATCCTGGAAGATGAAACGGCGGCCATGACGTCGTGCGAACGGCACAACATGGACTGCCAAGATGTTGTCCCGGTAGTACTGGCCTGTAACACGCCCTGCAACAACATGTAAAGCCGTTCTTCCAGCAACAGTGATGCCTCCCCACACCATAACAGAACCACCCCCAAATCGATCATGTCTGATGACGTTAACGTCTTGGAAGCGCTCGTTTCGACGACGCCACACCCTCCTACGTCTGTCCAAAAAATCAACAGTGAACCTTGACTCATCTGAAAACATCACATTGCTCCAGCGTCGATTATCCCAGTGTTGACGATCCCTACACCAACGACGTCTTGCCTGAATGTGATGATCTCTCAAACAAGGGATCACGCGAGGACGTCGGGCGCGAAGGTGACCCCTATGCAGTCGATTCCAAATCGTCTGGCCACTCACTCTCACACCAGTGTCTGTTTGAAGACGAGCGATGATCTGATTTGCTGTGATGACACGATTTCTCAAGGCCAAGGTACGGATAAATCGATCCTGGGCTTGAGTTGTCGCCCTTGGTCGACCTGAGCGTGGTCTGTCCTGTACAGATTGTGTATCACGGTATCTGGACCATAGCCTGCTTATGACAGACTGAGAAACATTCATCGTCCGCGCCACAACCGCCTGTGTTGTGCCGATCTGTAGCATGCCAAGGGCACGTTACCTTTCATTTTGGGTAAGCCGACGCATATCAAAATTTGTTTTCTGGTCTCTAAAACAATTAAACTGATGTTTCCACCCTGGAATTCAATGCCACAATGACTGTAACATTCAAAGTCAGAGTCGTGCAAATCTTGGGTTGGACCCCCATGATGATCCCAAGCATCACCTGCATTCCATGCGGTAGCTATTGGTGCGTTTGGGCGTCACATGTAACTGGAAATGTTTCTTCTGTTAGGTTCTATAGTGACTTTTTTCGTAGTCATTTGCATATTTTAGTATTATGCCCCCAAAATCAAATATCCCCTACTTTTTTTGAATAGTATATATGTTTATAGTTATGTATGTATGTACTGTACCTTTGTTTTATGGTCGCCTGTCCAACCTTGTGATTTTTCTCCGGGTCCTCTGGTTTCCTTCTACTACTAAAGACCCCTACGTTCAAGCGAATTATGGAAATAAAATTGAACCATATGTTAGTCCCAAAATGACCTAGTTTGTGTCAAGTGGACGTTAAACCCCATTTCTCTGTCTACTCAGTTTTTAGTATATCTATATTGTAAATGATCCAATTACTTACAAAACAATAAATATGTGACAGCCTCTGTGGAGTTTCTGTTTGGATGACTTTGCAGCTGTGGCCTTATGTTTTGTTTCCTGGCAACCTATCTTTGTAATAAATGTTAATTACTGCACCATGTATAAACCAAAATGCACCATTAAATTTCTTGTAAAAAACCCAGTTATTATCAAGATATTTGTATATGCATGTTTACAGTTGTACATGTATGAATTTTAATTATTGTTTAAATAAATGTTCTGTCACAGTTAATATGTTATTAAAATTTTAGATTTTCCTGGATGTGGTGTGGTTAATTCTTCCAGTAGAGCTGCTGATATCAAACAGTGATTAAGCCCCGCCTCCAATAAAGCTGCTGATATTTAGCAATGGTTAAGCCCCGCCTCCAATAAAACTGCTGATTTCAAGCAGTGATTATAATTTTTGTTTAAATAAATGTTCTGTCACAGCTAATATGCTATTAAAATTTTATATTGTCCTTGACATGGTGTGGTTAATTCTTCCGATAAAGATTCTGATATCAAGCAGTGATTAAGCTCCGCCTCCAATAAAGCTGCTGATATCAAGCAGTGATTAAGCCCCGCCTCCAATAAAGCTGCTGATATCAAGCAGTGATTAAGCCCCGCCTCCCCTCCTGTACTTAAACTTCCTTCCCCTGTTTGTCTCAAGTCCACGAGTCAACGTTTGCCCAACAAAGTAAACATGAAAATCTTATTGTATCACACTGAATATTAGTTCTATACCTATATATGTATTGTAAAATGACTTTTACTTTTGAGGAAATCTCCCTGTTGAGTCATATATCAATCAGAATTCTGGATAGAGTTATGTCCCTTCCAGACTTCACCCAAACAAGACAGGATTTTGACACAGACTATAGTTTTAAACTACTTTAAAGAGCACATCAAATGAGCAAACAAAATTATGTATATCCAGTGGCCACTACATACATTTTATTGCAAGTTTACACCAATCGGATTAAAATTATTCAACATATTACCATTTTAAGTGTCAGACACCAGAAACCACTTTCAATACTTCAGATACAGCCTTAAACCGTTTGATTGGCTCGTCATCAGTTCTGTTCAGTATGTAAGGGTGGGCCATAGTGCCGCTGTCCGGGCAAAATTTCTATCATAGCATGCTGTATGGCGTATATATGGCAGGAAATGATTCCTTTTGGCGAACAAAGAATAATTATGGCGAAAAAAGAAGGCATGAGTCCAATATGATTCGGCAATCAGAGAATCAACACTATAGAATCTCTTTCACTGTGGACGAAAATGAAATTGTACTTTTTGTGGGTTATTCGGGTTTTATTGGTCCGCGTCGTTTTATGATATACAACTGATTATAAAATGTTGAACCGGAAACGGAAGACAGTGTCGTGACTTCCGCTCTCTGTTCTGAAGCGGCCATTTTGTGTGTTTTTCAAAGGGCATCCGTTTTCAAAGGCCCGCCTTCACGTAAAGATAAGAATGGTGAGTTGGTTTTGGTATAAAGAATGGAATAGATACAATTTAAGAATATGTAACAGACACTATATATGTATTTTCTAATATATATATTTTTAAACCTATGCTATTCTGGTATCCGTTCCAAAAATCGTGTTGTTTTCTACTTTCATTTTCATGTTTAGATTTCTCTGCACATGGAGCAGCTAGAGTAAAAATTCGGAAAGAAGGCGAAAAGCTAGCCTTTTATTTACGAAAATAACTTCATTTGAAGCCGCAGTTTTGTTCCAATCAACAATAGGACGAGCAAGAAAAGCTGATACGCAAATCATACTGGCGTAGCTGAAGCGTGACTCGCGACGACAATATTACGTCACCGCTTCACTGGCGTACCTAGTTAAAGCTACAATTTCATATTTTTAAGTTATATTTTTAAAATGTATTAAAATAAAGCCCTAAAATAGATGGTATCCAAAAACAGTCCTACCTTGTTAAAGAATAATCCTATTAATCCTATAATTCACTATTGCCAGCTGAGAAATTGGCAAAAATATCATTTTCAACTTCAAATTCAAACGTTTGAACATAGCTATTCCATGGAGGTAATAGGAAAACAAGGGAGGTAATTGTGTTATTATTTCCTGTGTCAATGATTTTTAAGGATGGGAAATAATGCCCATGATCGTATAATAGGGAGTTGGTTGATAACCTATTGAGCAAAAGACATAGATATAATTATGTTTTGACTTTCTTAGAAAATATGAATCTTGTTTTTCTAAATTGATTTTAATTTAGATCTAAATTGTATCTTGTTTTTCTAAATTGATTTTAATTTATATCTAAATTGTATGATTAACTTTGTTTAAAAAAAACCCCATAAAATTGCGAGAATTATTCTTGTAGACGTCAGGAATATGTGACGTCATTGATAATAGGGAGTTGGTTGATAACCTATTGAGCAAAAGACATAGATATAATTATGTTTTGACTTTCTTAGAAAATATGAAACTCTCGCTTTAAATAATCTTGTTTTTCTAAATTGATTTTAATTTAGATCTAAATTGTATGATTAACTTTGTTTTAAAAAAACCCCATAAAATTGCAAGAATTATTCTTGTAGACGTCAGGAATATGTGACGTCATTGATAAAACGCGTCAATAAAAATATTTCCATGAGACGCATAATCTCGCTTTCGCGAGATTTGGTAAGTTAGCATGCGCATTGCCATCTTTCCTAGTGTATCTGTTTCCGGTCTGAATTTTTTTTTAAATCAACAGTCTGTGGTGACAGTTTTAGTTACGCTCCTGTGTTACCGGAAAAGAGCTTTGTTCTATAATATTCTCATAAATAAAAAATGTTACGGTCTTGGCCAAGTTAAAGTGTTGTCATCGTGTATAAACACGGCCCCTTTTTTTAAACTAGTTCTCTGTCCATCTATTGGGGGTTTCAGGTCAAAGTTTTTTAATGATGTTATATCTTTTATATTTTACAGGAAACTGATGATGTTGTAACTTTTATATATTACAGGAAACTAATAATGTTAAAACTTTTATATATTACAGGAAACTAATAATGTTATAATTTTTATACGTTACAGGAAACTAATGATGTTATAACTTTTATATATTACAGGAAACTAATGATGTTATAACTTTTATATATTGCAGGATACTAATGATGTTATAACTTTTATATGTTACAGGAAACTAATGATGTTATAAGTTTTATATATTACAGGAAACTAATGTTGTTATAACATTTATATATTGCAGGCAACTAACGTTATAACTTTAAACTTTTATGTTACAGGCAACTAATGATGTTATGACTTTTATATATTAGGCTGACCTTAAAAATATCTTTGTTTCCCCTAACGTGACTGACTAACTAAAACCACCCCCGACTTAAATTATGTTATTGCACTTTTCCACGATCTTTTTATTTTATTTTGTGTGTCAACAAAAATATCACAAGAGTTATTTCCCTTTACTATGGCTATGGTTGGATTCATTATTGAAACTGGTTGATCAAGACGAAAGCGTCATCGGTGTCACTTCTCAACAAAATGGTTGCAGACGAAAGCACGTCCATTCCCACGAAATGATTCTGCCTCTATGTCTGTGGGGCGTCATTTTAAACATGACGACAATATTTTTAATATCCGTTTACGAGAAAAATGAAGGCACAATCCGCACGATCGTTAAAAACGTATTGAAGGAGTTTCACACTTCAAGTTCATGGCAAATCGTGTGCGAGTCGTGCATCACGAAAAATCCCGATGTCATTGATTTGTTTGCCAATAAAGAAGACGAATGTTTCCACCCGGAAAATTATCAAGCTGTCAAATTAGCTCTTAAGTTTAATAAAAACTAAAAAAAATCTGAAAAAAACCCCGACCTACCGACCCTTCTCCTCGATTGTGGGTCGGCTTTGGTGAAACAAAGATATTTTTAAGGTCAGCCTTACAGGAAACTAATGTATATGATGTTATAACTTTTATATATTGCAGGAAGCTAATGATATTTTAACTTTTATATATATTACAGGAAACTAATGATGTTATAACATTTCATCAATGTGTTGTATGTGATGACATTTTTCAACAACTTGATGCTTTAGAAAAACACAATAAAATACATGTTAAAGAAGAGAAAACTGATGATGTTGATGGATATTGTCATGTTAAAGAAGAGAAAACTGATGATGTAGATGAATATTGTCATGTTAAAGAAGAGAAAACTGACGATGACAATGTTGAAAACGGTTTAGAAGCAGATGAGTTGGTTTCATTTAACGAAAGCCAGTCATTTAAGAAACACATGAGAACTCATATAGGGGGAAAACCTTATAAATGTGATGTTTGTAGTAAATCATTTTCAAAGAGTAGTAATCTAGTGACACATATGAGAATTCATACAAGTGGAAAACCTTATAAATGTAATTTTTGTGGTAAATCATTTAGTGTGAATTGTACTTTAAAACTACACTTGAGGATTCATACAGGGGAAAAAACTCAAAAATGTGATGTTTGTAGTAAATCATTCATTAGTAGTAGTCACATCAAGAGACACATGAGAATTCATACTGGTGAAACACCTTATAAATGTGATGTTTGTGATAAATCTTTTACTATTTATGGTAACTTACAGAGGCATATGAGAACTCATATGGGGGGAAAACCTTTTGAGTGTGGTTTTTGTGGTAAATCGTTCAGTGTGAATGGTAATTTACAGAGACACAGGAGAACTCATACAGGTGAAAAACATTATAAATGTGATGTTTGTAGTAAATCATTTGGCGAAAATCATCATTTACTTGCACACATTACCACCCATAGTGGAGGAAAACCTTATAAATGTGATGTTTGTGGTAAATCATTTCTTAATGATGGTGGCCTACAAAACCACAAAAGAATTCATACTGAAGAAACACCTTATAAATGTGATGTTTGTGGTAAATCATTTAGTCAAATTGGTCATTTACAGGTTCACGTTAGAACTCATTCTGGTGACAAGCCATATAAATGTGATGTTTGTAGTAAATCATTCACCAGGAATGGTTGTTTGCAAAGACACATGAGAATTCATACATGTGTAAAACCATATAAATGTGATGTTTGTAGTAAATCATTTGGTCGGGCTCATCATTTACAAGATCACATAAAAACTCATACTCAGGCCTGGAAATATCAATGTAATGCTTGTGGTAAACCGTTTAGTGTGAATTGTAATTTAAAGAGACACATGAGAATTCATACAGGGGAAATATCTTATAAATGTTATGTTTGTAATAAATCATTTGGTCAAACTCATCATTTACAGGTACACATAAGAACTCATACTTAGGCCTGGAAATAACGGTTTTAGATGTACATGTACCTGATAAAATGTCAGTCACTAATAAAAGATCACCTGACATTTTCAACTTAATATTAATAATATCAATAAAAAAAAGACAAATCAGTGCCGGACAAAATGACAGGCACCAGAGGTTTAGTGACGGACAAAACCTGAATCTGTGCCTGACATTGTCTATAACAGGTGCCTTATTTGCAGGCTTGCTCATACTGGATAGAAAACCCTATAAATGATGTGATATTTTTTAGTAAATAATTTTATAAAAATAATTGTCTACATGGTAATCTGTACTGGAGAAAAATTTTATAAAAGTGATGTTTGTAATAAATCATCTTGTCACAATCTGGAATACATAAATACGTCACAATACACGTACACTGTGATGTTTGTGATAAATCATCTCATCAAAATCTGGAATACATAAAAACTTACACTTGTGAAAAACCTTATTAATGTGTTTTTTGGGGGCTTGTGTTAGAGATTGAATTATTTCTTAATACAAAATTTATGGAAATACCTTGTTGAATATTGTTGGTCTACCCCATTGAAATGAAATGGGGTTTAACGTCCTACTGTTCCTATAATAAACTGCAAGTTGATTTAATCATTTAAAACATCCAAAGAGAGAGAGAGAAATGGGGTTTAACGTCCACTCGACACAAACTAGGTCATTTTGGGACTAACACATGGTTCAATTTTATTTCAATAATTTGCTTGTGCGTAGGGGTCTTTTAGCGGTGGGAGGAAACCGGAGGACCCGGAGAAAAACCACGAGGTTGGACAGGCGACCCTACTCCTTGTCACGTAGAACCGGGGAATCAAAACCAGCCTTGTATCTTTGTTGTATTATTTTCAATCAAACAGCTTCACATAAAGATACATTGCTATAAGTTATGGTGAGTATATTTGGATATAAATTTTATAAAAGCAATATTCGGAACAGTCTCTTGTCTTTCCAGCAATATAAATACAAATAACGCTCTAACCCTATCACTGGTCTACACCTACTGTCTGTTCCAGGTAACACTCTAACCCTGTCACTGGTCTACACCTAGGTTGGAGTCCTTGTCTTTAAATCACAAAATACGAAGTGGAAATAGTCTTGGATTATTTAATCTGTAATCAACGGTACAAAGCCAGAGGGGTCAAAACCAAAAGTACGACACAGATGTCAGTAGCGCGTGTGTCCTCCACGGGCTCTTACGCACGCTGTGCAGCGACGTCGCATGGAATTTACCAATGTTTGAAAGAAGGCCTGGGGCATATTGTTCCATTCTTGGACAAGAGCAGCTTCTAAAGCAGCAATGGTGTGCATCTGTGGTCTCCGATACAGACGGCGTCCAATCTCATCCCAGACATGTTCTATCGGTGCCATGTCCGGAGACATGGCTGGCCAGTCCAAGACATTGATGTTGTTAGCAGCCAGGTAGTCCATACTAAAACGGGCAGTATGTGGACGTGCATTATCCTGTTGGAAGTGCTGAAGTTGTGGGTGCGCTTGAAACATCGGAACAACAATTGGTTGCAAGACATCATCACGGTAGGCTACAGCATTAACGCGACCCCTGCAAATGTGTAGGGCGGTCCGGTGATGAAATGTGAAGCCTCCCCACACCATTACACTTCCCCCACCCCATCGATTCGTTTCGAAGACGCAGCAGTCTGCAAAACATTCCCCAAGACGTCTCCACAGCGTGATAAAGATGAAAGCGACTCTCATCACTGAAGAGCACACTTTGCCAGTCTACTCTTCTCCATGTCTGGTGTCCTTGGGCCCATCACTGACGGTGATGATCCCTGAGGATAGCTCCAACATAAGGTTGTTGTGCACGGAGTCCTACTTCTCTTAGACGACGTCTTACGGTGTTGGCACTTACTGGTCCTTGTCTTCCCACGACAGCTGCACCTGTTCGTGGCACTGGGCGGAATCTGACACGCAGATGAGTGACCCGGATGTAGCGGTCTTGAGTCTGGGTTGTAACGCATTGTGGACCAGGACGTTGACGGTCACGTGTTGATCCAGTAACTCGAACACGTTCCACCAACCTTACAATAGTGGACTGATGACAATTGAAGTGTCTGGCAATAGCACGTGTAGACATGCCAGCCCTGGACATTCCCCTAAGCTGGGAGATTTTCTATTAAATAATCAACCAGAGTGGATTAATCTGTGAGGATTTTCATATTCTCCGACAAATTACAAAACTAGCATCGTTACATTAATTGTGAATAATTCGTTTTGGGTAAATCCAAATCCCTTTTCAATATACAACCATCATTCAGTACTTCCGGAAAGGAAGGGAAAACTTATAACAAAGGAACGATAGACTATTGTTTAATCCGACGTTCTCTAGACTCGCAAGTTCAGAACCAAATCAGACAATTTTTATCTTGTTTTTTTTTCTTTTTTTCAAGTCTAATGTTTGAATCAAATTTGTTGCTAACAATAGCCTTATAATGGTGAGTTGATTTTGCTATAAAATTCCGGGCGACCATGTTTGATTCGACTCCCTTTTACATTCCATCACTTTTACATTTGTTCCTATTTTCTATTAGCGTCAGGGTTAGGGTCAGGTATTTACCATCGAAGAGCTTATTTTCTTTTCACTTATCTACTTGTTATTTACTTTCTGTGGTTCCACAACAATGAAATATTGAGACACAAAAATTGTAGTCACATCAAACATGATTGCCAAATTCCATAGGGGATGGAAGACAAACAACCAGCGTCACATGATTTGCTGATTTGCATATCAACAAAGACGTCTTTGCAGTAAATACTACTGTGGTTTGAAAAAGAATATTTAAAGGCGCCAAGTCTCTAACTTTATATTTTCCATAATATTTGAAATTAAAAACACAAATTAGAATTCAATATTGATTAATTTCAATCAATATTGATGTTTTTATATTTGCCGTGAAACCATAGGATCCAAATATCAAATATTTAAGATACAATTAATTAAAATTTTATAATCAGTATTCAGTACACAGAGTCGGGAGCTTGGTGGATGACCGAATGGTTAGTTCGTATGTTGTATCGTAGGAGCAGAACAGTTAAACCCCATTTCATTCTTTTCATGTCTTTCCAGGGAAATATTGGGAACCTACTTGACCAACGCTAATAATGTTATAAATTTCATATATTACAGGAAACTAATGATGTTATAACTTTTATATATGACAGGAAACTAATGATGTTATAACTTTTATATATTACAGGATACTAATGATATTATAACTTTTATATATTATAAGAAACTAATGATGTTATAACTTTTATATATTACAGGGAACTAATGATGTTAAAACTTTTATATATTACAGGAAACCACTGATGTTATAACTTTCATATATTACAGGAAATTAATGTTGTACTTGTGAGGGAACTCGAAGAAGTGAAATCTGTTTTAGAACATGGTAAAAAATGGGAGACAAGTTTCAAGAAGAACAGGGAAGGAAAACCATATCAATGTGATGTTTGTAATAAATCATTTATTACGAATAGTCATCTGAAGAGACACATGAGAATTCATACAGACAAAAAACCTTATAAATGTGATGTTTGTAGTAAATCATTTACTGAACGAGGTAGTCTAAGGAAACACATGAGAATTCATACGGGTGAAAAACCCTATAAATGTGATGTTTGTAGTAAATCATTCATTAGTAGTAGTCACATCAAGAGACACATGAGAATTCATACAGGTGAAACACCTTATAAATGTGATGTTTGTGGTAAATCATTCACCCAGGGTAGTAATCTACAACAACACATGAGAATTCATACCGGTGAAAAACCTTATAATTGTGATGTTTGTAGTAAATCATTCACCTATAGCCAACATATGAAGGAACACCTCAGAATTCATACTGGTGAAAAGACTCATAAATGTGATGTTTGTAGTAAATCATTTAGCCAGAGTAGTACTCTACAATCACACATGAGAACTCATTCCGGAAAAAAGCCTTATAAATGTGATGTTTGTGGTAAATCATTTCTTAATGATGGTGGCCTACAAAACCACAAAAGAATTCATACTGAAGAAACACCTTATAAATGTGATGTTTGTGATAAATCATTCAAAAAGACGCATCTTCTGCAGATACACTCAAAAATTCATACTGGTGAAAAACCTTATAAATGTGATGTTTGTAGTAAATCATTCAACACTAAAAGTAATCTACAGCGACACTTGAGAATTCATGATGGTGAAAAAGCCTTATAAATGTGATGTTTGTATGAAATCATTCACAGAGAATCATCACCTGCAGAAACATTTGAGAATTCACACTGTAAAAACTAAGACAAAATCAAAAAGTTAGTATTTGTCCTTTTAAATGTGGTATAAGTTATTGTAGTAGTTTATGGTACAAGATTATATGATACATGTTGTAAACATCTGTAGTTAATATGGTAGCATACTGTAGACATGTGATACAATGATATTTTTGTATGCTATATTCATCTGTAGTTAAAGTGAGAATTTCAAATTTTCTAAGAAAGTCAAAACATAATTATTTCTGTCTTTTGCTCAATAGGTTATCAACTCACTATTATACGATCATGGGTATTATTTCCCACCATTAAAAATCTATGACACAGGAAATAACACAATTACCTCCCCTGTTTTGCTATTGACAACATGGGGCAGCCATTTTCCAACGTTGGAATTTGAAGTTAAAAATGATATTTTTGCCAATTTCTCAGCTGGCAATAGCAAATTATAGGATTAATAGGATTATTCTTTAACAAGGTAGGACTGTTTATGGATACCATCTATTTTAAGGCTTTATTTTAATACATTTTAAAAATATAACTTGAAAATTTGAAATTGCAACTTTAATATGGTACAAGATTATTTGATACATGCTGTAGCCATCTGTGTAGTAATTCAGGCAAATTACTGTAGTAATTATCCAATAAAAACATTGAGTGCGATTGGTTTTAATTATCTTATCTACAATGTAAAGCGCCACAGAGCAGCCAGACTGACTGAATGTTCAGACATTAGAAAGCGATTATTATCATTATTATTAATTGCTTGCTATTAGCATTATTTATTACTTTACCTAGATTTTTGAGTAGGCAGCCATAGCGCCGCTGTTCTGGCAAAATTTCCCTGATTCCACACTGTCAATCTGATTCACATCATGGAAGAGTTGTTATGTAAGCCGCGTTCTGAATGATGTGAGGGATTAGCAAATGAAACTGTCTGTTACGGCGAGTTTGTGGCGTGAGGTGCACAGAACTGTGGGTAACCCTCTAGAAACATCAATGCTGATTGCTTAATCAAATGTCTCACATCAAAAGCCGCGCGTATGACCCCTGACGTGACCTATGATGTTAAATATGTCACACGTCATTTCATTTCACAATATTGTGGGGGTTGGATGGCCGAATGGTCAGCACATGGGCGTTGTATCATAAAGTCTGTCATTGAGTGAACTGGCAGGGTTCCGATTCCCCGGTTGTTCGTGGCAAGGAGTAGGGTCGCATGTCCAACCTCGTGGGATTTTTCCAGGTTCTCTGGTTTCCTCCCACTGCTAAAGACCCCTACGCGCAAGCAAATTATTGAAATAAAATTGAGCCATGTGTTAGTCCTGAAATGACCTAGTTTGTGTCAAGTGGACGTTATTAAACCCCATTTCTCTCTCTCTCTCTCTATTTCACAATATTGTTGCTGGACCTTTTTTTCTGTGCAGATAACATGGATATACTGACAATAATAATATGAGTATTTGTATAGCACCAATTCCACACCATTCTCGGTAACCCCACTGGTCTGCTTCCGTTCTACTCCACTAACCCCTGGTGGAGGTACATATTCAAATTACCTGCCCTTGATAAATGTGCTATTTACATCGACCAATCAAAAAAATTGTTAAATACAAATGAAGCTGGCGAAGGGAAGGTAACAAACAAGCCGCCATATTGATGTGAACATAAACAATGAGGCTAAGACTGGCTTTTAAACTGTTTTTTGATTGGCTCATAGAATCAAGCTATGATCAAGGGCAGGTAATTTGAAAATGTGTCTTCCCCATGGATAAATCAAGGGTATAGTGGAGTGGAATGGAATGAGACCACTGGTGATGATTCCACACTTATCCAGATATCATTAATATATTTAAAGTACACTCTATGTGCTTTCTACACATAATTTTAAATTAAATATAACATTTAAATATTTCAAATAAGTTTGGATCTAAACCACTCAATAAAAGTAGCACTTTTGGTGAACACTTTAAAATCTTTACATTTTGGAAATATCACACAGTTTTCTGTCATCTGCATAGAGGTGATGGATTACATAGAATTACATATAATTGGACCAAGAACGCATCCCTGGGGAACACCAGATGACAACAAAACCTACTTTGTGCAATGAAATGAATTGTATGTGACCTGTGGGATATGAGGCGAACCACAATAACACACAACCATCCAACTCTTAGAGAGTGTCAAATGCAGGCTGAAAAACTTGACGCCCGCATAAATGCATTTTCCGCCAAATCCAGTCTGTGATCCAAAATATAGCCTCAATATGGTCCAATATAGAAATCCAAACAACCAATAAATTGATATGTCCATGAAGACGGTTTTTGTGCTGTACGGGGAACTGCTATTCTATCCTGTGAATTAAAGAACTTCAAAGTCGTCCAACCTAAATCCCACTCTGTGTCGACCATCCAATCACACTGTGGCTGCTACATCACAAATAATAATCGATGCACGAAAAATGTCTCATGAAATTCCAGACCAAATGTCTTAATCAGTAAAAATTTGCAGTAAACAGTTTTATTAGATTTCAGACACTATTTTGCCAACTGAATGATATATTGATTTTTTTCCCTTTACCCATCAACCCAAACAGTCCGAACGCCACTCACAATGAAGTAATTTGACTGAAATTTTCACTATATTCCCTTTCTATTATCTAGTTTTTAACGATTATAGTTAGAACTGTCAGCTCTGTATCTTTCTATTATCTAGTTTTTAACAATTATAGTGAGAACTGTCAGCTCTGTATCTTTCTATTATCTAGTTTTTAACGATTATAGTGAAAACTGTCAGCTCTGTATCTAAATCTCCCATAATGTATCTGTAATCAGTTTGCTCACTTAAAAATGAAACTACTTTTTGTCATTCGTAGACAAAATGGTCTAATAATATGACTGGTCTTTCTTCTAAATTATGAATTATCGTGTTGGGTAGATCCACAGCTTCCTGCAATATACAACTAATTCTAAATTGTTCCAGAAATGAACATGGTATAGTGAAGAAAGGCTGTTTTCTTGAATACCCAATCTGGTTAAAACACAGATCCTATTTCGTTTTGTTTTACTTGTCTTTACTACACTTGGATCTGGAAGACTTGTTATTTAACTCGTGTCTGCTTGAAATGAGGGGTCAGCCAATCAAATGGTCTGTCGAATCGAGTGTTTGACGTTTTTTGCCCGGAACTGTGGGTAATCCACTAGTAACATCAATGCTGATTGGTTAATCAAATGTCTGACATCATAGGTCAAAAGTCGGTCTTTTGACCCCTGAAGTGACCTATCGCTATAACTTGTCAGATCTTCATGTATAGTGTAGGCCATCGAAAGTATAAAAAAACGAAACGAAATATAGATCTGTATTTTAATTAGATTGTTGAATACCTGACAACTCATCCCAGATAACTCATTCCAATAAAAGACAACTCATCCCAAGTTAGAAGACAGCTCATCCCAAGTCAAAAGACAACTCATCCCAACTTATAAGACAACTCATCCCAACTTTAAAAAACTCAATCATTCCACATTACAAATAAATATATTTATTAAATCATTAATATTAGAATTTATTACATCAACAATTTATATAAGAATTTATTACATCAACAATTTATAAAAATAATAATGTTAAATTATTTATTATATCAACAATTTATTAAATAATACATTTTATTATTTATTACATCAACAATTTATTAAATAATACATTTTATTATATCATGATCAACTAATACATTTTTATAAATCTGTTGGATCTGTTGGTCTCTCTTTTTGCTGGAACCGATTGCAGTATCGAAGTAGGTTTGAATAATTGGACCTGGATGCCTCTGGCTCTCTGTTATCCACATGTTCAGCTAAGATATTATCAACAATATTTTGTGTGGTTTAGTAAGTATTAATGTCTAATTCAAAAATTGTGAAAACCAGAGAAGGTCCTGTATTATTATCTTGGTACAAGAATCTAGCCTTGTGGAACACCCAACTGAACTGGTATAGGATCTGAATGAAAGACATTAATTTTCACAGATTGGTGAAGATCACTCAAATAAATGAAATGGGGTTTAATGTCCTTCTGTTCTGCACTGCACCACCTTTGGGAGTGGGGGGGCGGAATGGTTAGCATATGCACAGTGTATCATAAGGTTTGTCATTGAGTCAACTAGAGTGGGGGGATCACGTGGCTAAGGGGGTAAGACGCTGGCTCGATAGCCTGGAGATCGGGTGTTCGAGAAAGTTCATTTAGATTTTTCGGCATGGTTTCCCCTTGTCAGTGATGCAGGATGGAGGGCCTGACAAGGACAGCTGCCTCGTTGTTCAGATGGGACGAAAAACGGAGGTCCTGTGTACACATTGACGTGCACGTAAAAGATCCTTTGGCAGTTGGAATTCGATATAAGAGTAGGCCGTAGTGCCGCTATTCGGGCAAAATTTCCCTCATAGCACACTGTATAGCGTATGCCATCGTATGAGCTCTATAGATATACAGAATATCTGGATTCATGTTTGATTTCTTTAATAATGTTTTAACAATAGCTTTTGCTAGTGGCGCTCTACTACATGTATTGTCTTAAACCTCTAGAGGCTAATTTGATTCCTGCAACCTCCCATAGGAAGAATGAGTTCGCACCTTGGCACAACACGCTGCAAGCTCAAGCGAGTGCCAGCTCTCATGTAATCAGCATACTTTCTTTGTTTAACTTCTTTGTCTAAGTTACATGCGGTTATTATGTCGAAGGACCGATGATCAAAGCGCCGTCAGGCAGTACCTGCACGCTTTACTGATCTACATGTATTAAAATTTTCTAAACCTGATTCGGACGCCGGTGCAGAACAGAGAGAGAATATTAATAATGAAAATGGAGACTTGGCATTCACTAGGCTGGCCACGGAATGTCGGCTCTCACACCACACAATGGCGACTTTGGTCAAAATGGGATTTGATTATATTGAGGCCCTGGCTCTGTTGGAAGTGGAAGATCTCGCCGACGTAGATATCAATAAAGGCCAAAGAAAACTCTGCTTGTTTGCGGCACAGAAAGCGGCATTGGTTCAGACACAGCAAACAGAAGCACAAACCGAATGCCGCGAAAATTCGGCGGGCCCGGATGTAGCACGTGCAAATATGGCGGAGGATGTGAACATGCAGAAGTTAATTGAAAAACTGTCTAACAATATGAGAGGCGGGGCGAATGACCCGGTGCAGATTACAGGGGACAGTGGCAATCAAGCCCTCCCCCCTCTCGTCAACCCACAGATTTTCCTACGAAAGGCGGCTACGCAAGGTAAGATGTTCCTGGACATTGTCGATTTTATCCCCCACGGACCAGTCTCGAATGTCGAGGACGATAATTTCACCTTGATCCAAACGACAGCAGGAGGCAATGATCTCGTTATCAAGAGAGCACACCCAAGGAAACCAAAGCCAGAAACCGTGACGATCGCTCAATGGTGTCTGGCGAACATTGCCATCCTGGTAAATTTTATGGATTCGACTATCTCGGTTATTCTACTCGAATTTTGGAACTGTTTGCGCGATTCGACAGGATCTCCGTTCTATTCTACGATAGGGAATACCGGCAGCTCCAGGCTAACCATAACTTCCGATGGGGTGTCGTGGTCACCCACCTACAAACGTTGCACCTCCAACCAAAGGAAAATCGG